TTTGGTGACGGCAGCGACAAGCACCAACACCGAGCAACAGCTGAAATTATTGGCGCTTTGTTGGCTGGCTCTAGCGATGACCCCGTTGAGATGCGCAACAAGGTTTGGGAATTTGCGGCGCCCATGTTGCTGAAGATTCTAAACGACGGCTTGACCCCGGAGAATCTACAGTACTGGCTTCCCTGCATCCATCTCATCCTGGACTCGAGAGACCCGCGACGATCGCGCGAGATCCTCGACAGCCTTAAGACATTCCGATTAGATATTACGTCCAACGCGGCATTCAAGGATTCATCCAAAGTTCAGTTGCTGGAGTTTGTTTTAGCTGATGGAGGTTGGCATTTCCGCCAAGAAAAGCCCATCCTAGACGACTTCCTTGCGCATATTGATCATCCGTATAAAGCAGTCCGAGAGGCCATGGGCAAAGTGCTTTGCGTCATTTTTCGAACTAGGTACCATGAGTCCTTTGAGAGTGTGCCTAAACTAATTGAGGCCAACAAGAAAGCTTCATCTATTGGTATCCGACCTTATCAGCCCTCTGAGGAATTGACGTCTGCGATAAAGGATGTTTTTGACCGCCTGGAGAAGTGGCGTCATGAGAGGGAGCCTGGCCAGCAAACACAATCGTCATACACTTCGGGGTCCAAAACAGTGCTTACCTGGCTGGATTGCACTCTATCATCCAATGAGTGTACCATGCTTGTGCCATTCTTCGCCACACCTTTCATGGAGCAGTTGCTTCATATGATGGATGTCAAGGAAGACCCCGAGCTGATGAGGATCGCATATCATGTATACAGGCATCTGCCCAACATTCCATTCAGGGAAGGCGAAGATGCCAAATTTATTAATGCGCTCATAAAAATCGGCAGATCCGCAACAAGCTGGCATCAGCGTCTCCGGGCGTTGGTGAACATGCAAGTGGTCTATTTCAGGCGCATTTTCCTTACGGCTGCATCTGAAAGAGATGCGCTTTTCACCGCAGTGTCGGATATGTTGAGCGATCCCCAGCTCGAAGTCCGGGGGTGTGCATCCACGACATTGGCAGGAATGATTCGTTGCTCGCCTCGCCATATCAGAGACCCGATGATTGCACGACTTGAGAGGCGATTCAAAGATGAACTGCAGCAAAACCCGATGCCCAAACGGAAAACCCATTTACCAGGTACCGAAACACCGGTAGATATTCACAGGCAGATTAATCGGCGCCACGCAGCAGTTTTGGGTCTAGGTGCGCTTATCGAGGCATTCCCTTACGCTACACCACCACCAGAGTGGATGCCAGAGGTATTGGCCACGCTGGCACGCAAAGCTGCCGGTGATCCCGGCGTGGTTGGTAAAGCTACGAAGGGTATTTTGAGTGAATTCAAGAAGACAAGACAGGACAGCTGGAGCGTTGATCAAAAAGTAGGTGGTCGAGGGTGTCTTTGAAATTTGACGTCGATTACTGACACTGTTGAATAGTACTTTACCCCGGAACAGTTGGAGGACCTGGAGGGTGTTCTTTGGAAGAGCTACTTTGCCTAAGACAACGACAGGATGGTAGAATATAGTAATGCCTCTAGGCACACCAAACACGGGAAATGATGATGTATTGCGCCTTGGGGTGAGTGTTTTTATTCAAACAAGAAGAAAAAGCAGAATGCTATCATGCATGTTATGGGATACGTTGTGGGAGGAGTCGGCTACGCCTCGCATTGCATGGCTTTGCCATGTCCAAAACAGAACATATGGTCGAGCATGAATAGAACGTTAAGGATTGGGAGGCGAGGAGCTCGGAATCGTCATAGGAAAGTGATGGTGACTGTCTTTGACACGTTGAGCAGTTTGTGGGAGGTATAATTGCATTCAATCAATCAAGTGATTATTATTACACTGCAGTGGCCGCCTTTGCCATAATCGTCACTCCACAGCACGGCTGCATCCATCCATACATCTCATCTTGACACGAGAAAAACACATGAAATCCAAAATACAACAAAACGGCTTGCATCACAGAGCGCGCATACTTGGTGCTGTCTTCCAGATACGAGCGCACATGACCAAACCAAACACTTTGACGCTACTGTGACACCGTTGACCGTGGTTGGTGCTTGTAAATTCCACCGAAGCATTCTGCCTCGGCAATCGTACGACTTGTCAGGCTTGTCAGCTCTCGAGAAGCGTGTCGAGTTGGAGGTCTGTCGCGGCAAGGTATCGACTTGAGCTTTCTTTTCTGTTCCAACTGTGGCCCCCGTTTAGGCTTGCCCGCCATGGACGCTGCTGCACGACAGCGTGTTTCTGTCAAAGGTTTAAGATCGTGGTGGTGGCCAGCGATTAGACTGGCCTGGGTTCTCGTTGGGATAAGTCGAGATGGCTTCCGCGGGCGCGGGCGCGGGCGCGGGGAGGGCAGCTGCAAGGCCAGCCAGTGCCGCGATGACGATGGCGTAGAACTTCATGGCGTGTCTTTTTTAATAGGATATATTTTGTGGTGATTAACGAGATTGCGACGCGTGGGTTTTGGTAAACCGGGGTATGCTACTTCGTATATAGTGAGGAATCGTGGGGGATGAAAAAGGGGGCCGTTTGGCAGGTGGAGGGAAGTGCTAGATGAGCAGATCGGTGAGGGGGGGACAAGAGGTGAATCAGATGATACAGAGGCTGGTCGCTCCATGTCTTATATGTATATCCTTGGGGCTGGCGATGAGGGCTCTGGGCTAGGAGATGGTCATTTCGCGGATTGATCCTGGATGTCTCACTTTGGAGGCAGCGCACTCGCTGGCTGCGTGGCCGCGTCCCACGGGCCCTCGATCTGGACCGTTCGCGTGTGGGGGGGAGAGACGGGATGCTAATTAGACATTTTGCTTTTTTTACTACTTGTGCTATTTTAACTCGGGCTATTGGTGTTCTATATTTACTTCAAGGGCCGATTGTGAGATCAAGGGTCGTGTGATTCGCGTTGGGCGAGGGGGGGACCATTACGGAGTACTACTATGTAGTAGTATTGTATGTACGTCGCGTGTTTGCTCGCGTGTTTGCTTCGGTATTATAGGCGACTTCTGCTGAGATGACGAAAAGCAAGCATCTCATGATATCGGTTGGGGCCTTTTTTTGAAATGCGCAAATACTCGTCTGGCAAGTGGGCACTATTGTGCAAACACTCGGATGCCACAGCCAGCGAACAATGCCCACACGACTTCGTATCCCTTGACTTGTACAATCCTCGAGCCCCCGAATGGTCTGTCTGGCTACCCTTGCTGATCATGTGGTTGACAGCACCAACAAGGGATGTTTGGTGTCGACCTTGTCGCTCGTCTTGAACGTACAATGTGTCTTGGGCATTCCGCCACGCCGCTTCAACGTAGCAATCTCCCCCCCTGAGCCAACGGGCTTACCAGTCGAAGACGTCTGCCACACCGTCAATAGTGACTCGCTTTGATCGCTCGGGGAACATGGCTGCGGGTGTTTGGCCGAGAAGAGGACCGTAGCTGAAGTCCCAATCGTAGTACGTGTTTTTGTTGGCCGACGGGCATTTAGGATGCTGCTCATGCCGTCTGCTTTTTGGGGAGATTGGTGCCACAGTGTTCCCCATGTTATGTGCTCTTCCAAGGTGCTTGCAGAGGCCCTTGGGATGGTGAGGATGATGATGGAGGATGCTTGTGGTTGTGGCAGGCAAGTTGTTTCCGCGGCCGGTGGAACCAATAGACGTCAAGTCCTATACACGCAATCATGTGCCATCTTTTTTAGTCGGCTTCCAGACACTTTGTGATGAGGGGATTGGGGTCGATGCAGGAGATGGCAAGCAACCCAGGCCATGACAGGTTCAGGTTGCTTGTGCTGAGCTTATTCTGTGACAGTTGATTGATTACTCCACAGCGCAATGGGCTGTACGAAGTATGGGGATCGCGAATCTGCCTTCCCGCCGCGCCAAGACTAAAAGGGACATTCAAGTCTTGGCATTCTCGATGACGATGGCGGCCGATGCTGGTCCCTGGACGACATATAATAGCATGGGCGGGTATGCCTCTAAAAAAAGGGAAGAAAAAAAGAAAAAAAACATATGCATCTTACCAAGATGGATAATCTTTTGACTATTCCCCGAAAACATGATTGCTCCCTATCCAAGTAATGCGTTTACTCCATACTGGTTTCGTTGATGAATACATCAGTCCGCCGTTGGGCAAGCTATGGACCGTTCAGACAATACGGGGTAGATGGGCCATGTATACTTGTAGTACTAGCAGTACTACTACTACATTCCTAACCAAACGGGCTCTGGTTTGTTTCTCTCTAGCTTCCCGGTGGAGATTCAGCCTCATCCTACTCTGTACGTAGCAGTACTACCGTATATACGCATGCAACTCCGGCCCGTTCCTGCGGCCGTTTGCCAAGAACAAGGCTGATCCGAACGGCTGCTCGCAGTGTTTTATGTACCCCGGATATATACATGCAGGCACCTCGACCCCGTCGCCAGATCTCACGGACCGCGGATCCCTGGGATTATACGATACTCCCTGGAGAAACAGGCTCCCTGGTGCATTTTCCGTCCTCTCAAAACATTACAGTTGCTTCACTACAGGGTGGGCTAGGCGTGTTTGCACAATCCAGTCTACTATTGCGAGTGCTCCCGTCTTGGATGTGCGCTTGGAGACTTCTTCAACCGTGTGGAACAGTAGTCACGGCGACTGCTTGACCATGACTCCAGTGAAGCTTTGTGAATGCAAGGCTTTCTTTGTCCTCGGAGGCACGTCTTTTTGGTCAAATGACTCACCTATTTCGCGGATGGCACTGAGGATAGCAACCGGGCCACGCCATGAGACGAAAATCACGAAATAAGCAAGACGATATGGAAAGCAAGCATCAAGGTCGTGTGGATTGACCTTTTGTTTCTTCTTCACAATTAGAATTAGTCGTTTGCTAAGCTCTCCGATGCGTAGCAAAGGGCCACGGATGTTCACCAGATATGTATAAAACCCGGAGCCCTCTTGGTAGTCGCTTCACTACATCTCCCCATAGTCGCATTAGTCTCTTCGCTCCCTCGATTCATAGTGTACCTCCCACTCTCTCCTCGTCCAGATGGCCTTGTCGCTGCCCGAGCTGTCAATACTCATGTCCTCGGCCCCGTGATCCGACGACCTGGCTGCGACGGCCGTGACAATCTCGGCCGTGGGATCTGGCCGCAGCCTTGCTCGGGCCTTGCCGACACGTCCGTCCTCGCGCGCAGAGACCAGACTCTGCATCACATACGAGCCGCCCTGGGATCGGCTGCCGCTCCCGTTCTCAGTAGAGATCTTTGTGGTCGCGCCGAGGCCGCTGTCGAATGCCTGCAGGAACTGCCGGAAGCAGGGAAAGGTGGCCGCCATGATGGAGAAGTGCATCACGACTTGGGTTGCAATGGTGATTTCCGTCGAGTTGAATGTGGCATCGGATCCATACATGGAAACTCGGACGAAATGCAGCCGGAATGCGATGGGGATGATGACCAGGAGCTGGGCTGAAAAGGCGCACACAACCATGACTTTGGTCTTTAGTTTCATGGACAGGCCCCAGACCAGGGCGACAGCCAACGCGCTTATCGCAAATTCAAGAAAGGTGCTAAAGGTCTCGACAACGACCCATCGGGTGACCTGTTCTCCGTGTCAGCTTGAAGAGCAAGATGGGTTGGCCGGCGCGGGCTCGTCGTACGAGGGTTGGGCATTGGCTGGCAATGTGCACGTTCCACGGTTCGGGGAGGCTGCATTGGAAAGCCATGAGAAATAGTGAAACCACAGCCCATAGTATCGCGAAGAGCGTGATGCCGTACGTTGTGAGGAGATGGCGTCTGTCCTGGCCGAGCCGTGCGATGAGGAGAAACATGGCGCATTTCGAGCCGCAAATCGCCACAATATACACCAAGTTGGAGGCATAGTTGAGCTTTCGTTGTACGATTGTTAGCCTTTTTTTTTGTTCCTTCTTTTAATGAAAAAAAAAAAAAAAAGACAACCGAAACACCTCCTCACCTTCAAGGCTCTGTCAACCTCATCCGCCACCAACAGACTTTCCTGCTTCCCCAGGCCGTTTCTGACAGCAAGCAGAGTAATGGCGGTTTGAACAAGACCGAAAACCTACAATGTTTAGAAATGAATCATTCATACATCGGGCAACAACGAGCACCTACTGTTGCAAAGGACGCTGCGCCGTCGTCTATCCCAAAGGGCCCGTTGACACTCAACCGGATGTACAACCTGATGAGGTACACCATGACGGTCCAGGTGGCGCCCACGACGGCCGCGATGACAATGAGACCTGCATGGTCGGTCGTCGTAACCGCCAAGTTACTTGGCGTCGGTGAGCTCATGGCCGCCGCTCAGCAAGGCCAGTTTTCTGCTTTCGTCGGTGCTGGATTGTTGGGCCAATAAACCGAGCATCATTTCAACGGCCGCCGGCAGGGAGGATCTCGGTGGTATTTGTGGGAAAGAACAGGATTTTCCCAGACAAAGGGGAGATACAGCATGATTGGCATTAATAACTTGTTCCAAGGTCTCCTCATGGTGGAGACTTAACGTCGGCCAAGTTATCATTCTCTTACGACACAGCCCAATTCGGAGAAAGTCCGTCGCTGGTTCCTTGGCCGAGCGACTCGAGACTTTGGTCAAGCTCTTCCCAGACGAACAAGATAACGTTATTTGGCCGTCTTTATTCGGCGGCGGGGAGCAGCCAGGGGCCAAGGTGGTAATGCTTCTGGGGCCATGGAACTCGAACCTTGTCGAGGCCCCGTCCTGGGAACCACTTTCTGCAGTTCTGGACCAGACATGTTTTGCTATATTACACTTGCGGTATGCCCTTCTCGCCTGTGGAAGGGACCTCCGGATTCTGGAAGTCTCGCAACTGCCAGCGCAGCCGCTTCGTAATACGTACTACTCACCGGGATGGAGACACCGACACCACACATCGGCTCGAGGGATGCCAGTTTTGGCGACGCAGGAGACAAGCAGCCTCCTTACTTTGCGTCTGAGATGGCTGCCCAAGGCGGTGCGGCCCGTGGTGATGATGGCTTGCAGGACAGTCTTGACGCTGGTGTAAGCGCAAATGATCGCAGAGATATGCAGCGGATGGGCAAGACGCAGCAGTTTCGGGTGAGCAGTATTGCCTCTGGAGTTTTGGAAAACATGCCACGAATCTAACGAGTCTTGCACAGAGAAACTTTCGAATGGTGTCGACCATCGGCTTTACCATTTGTGTCACGGGCACTTGGATCATCTTGTTAACGTGAGCTGGAAGCTCCGTTTCCGGGGGATGCAGCATTGCTGACGAGACGCAGGTCAAACACGCAGGGCCTCATAGCCGGAGGCATGTCGGGCCTCTTTTGGTCTTTGTGTTGGTCTCATGCTGGCCAGTTCTTCATTGTCCTGTCTCTCGCTGAGCTGGCGTCCATGGCTCCCACCGCGGGCGGCCAGTACCACTGGGTATCGGAATTCGCTCCTCGGCAACACCAGAAGCTTCTCAGCTACTTGTCAGGTATGTCTTCTCTATCGTCGGCTGGGTGCATCTCATGCCTTCACCCCGGGCTAAACAGTTGCTAGGATGGCTGTCGACTGTGTCTTGGCAGAGTATCGTTGCGTTGGATGCGTTCCTCATTGGCTCCGTCATTCAAGGACTCATCACCCTCAATGACGACTCGTATTCTCCCACGAGATGGCAGGGGACGTTGTTTGTATTTGCTGCAGTCATTGGCGTGTCGCTCTTCAACGTCTTTGCCGCCAAGCACCTGCCGCTGGCTGAGGGATCCTTTGTCACCCTTTACATCTTCTCCTTCTTTCCCGTCATTATAACTTTGCTTGTGCTGGCGCCCAAGCAGTCTGCCAGCGACGTCTTTACCAAGTTTACCGACAATGGAGCAGGATGGCCTTCCATTTCGCTGACTGTCATGGTGGGACAGGTGTCGTCCATGTTTGTGGTTCTCGGTATGTTGCATACCGTGGACGACGTTGGCCAGAATACGGCAAATACGCTTGACGGCTTCGCTAACTCGTCGCAGGATCCGACTCGGTAGCGCACATGGCCGAGGAAATTAGGGACGCCAGCGTTGTCGTCCCGAGAAGCATGGTCTGGTCATTCATACTGAACGTGCCCTTCACTTTTGGGCTTCTGATCACGTACTTGTTCTGCATAGGCGACGTCCAGGAAGCTCTGGATTCCAAGACGGGCTTCCCCTTCATCTACGTCTTTCAAAACGCCACGGGGTCTATAGGCGCCACGACCGGTCTTACTATTGTTGTGCTGGTGCTGCTCACCATGATCACCATAAGTTCCCTCGCGTCGACATCTCGGCAAACATTTGCTTTTGCTCGAGACAATGGCCTTCCATTTGCCACATGGCTCGGCGCTGTGCGTTTCCCACCCCCTCGGCGAAGCTGGCCGGCTTTGAATTGCGATTGTTTTGGCTAACGCGGACCAGGTTCATCCGTCATGGCATGTTCCCGTCAACTCCGTCTTCTTCACCTGCGCCTTCTCAATGGCATTTGCCCTCATCAACATTGGATCAACGGTCGCGTTCAATGCCATGCTGTCGCTGTCAACTGTCGCCCTCATGGCCACGTATGTCGTCTCTGTCGGCTGCGTCACCCTGAAACGAATTCGAGGAGAGCAGCTTCCGCGCTGCCGCTGGAGCCTCGGCCGCTATGGTCTACCCATCAACATCGTCGCCTTGTTGTATTCGTGCTGGTCATTTTTCTGGAGCTTCTGGCCAAACAGCTATGACGTCAATGCTGAAAACTTTAACTGGGCATGTGTCCTTTTTGTTGCCTTGATGGGTTTGTCCTGCATTCTCTACTATGCCAAAGCGAGGCATGTATACGAAGGGCCGGTTGTCATGGTTGAGGGACATAAAGAGAGTTAGGGGGTTTATGTATCGCCTCCTGTGTCAAGTCCGTGTCAGGTTTACACCGCATGGGTAACAGGACATTGGCCGTGTTATAGTAATTACAAAAAACAATTGCTGGCCCAAGACTCTCATATGCAGGAAAAAAAAAAAAAAAAAAAAAAAGAGCACCACCTGTTCACTAGACGTAATTTTTGTTTCACCGTTCCCACGGACAGGACCAAAGACCAAGGGTTGCATCGGTTCTCTTCTGAGACAAGCCTCAATATGCGACCCCGAGCCAATCAAGGATTAAGCTTATCACTTGCAGTGTTACATTGTAAACCTAAACCTGGTAATTCGGTCTCATCCCGCCTTGAGCCGTCCGTTCCAACTTTTCAGATCTCGCGCGATCCGCAGGGATCTCGTGGGCTGCCTCCCAAGGAGACGAACTTGTGTCACATTCGGGTTTAGCAACGACTCTGTTTCGGTAATTACAGCCGCAACGCGCGCGCACTTGCGTTGTTGGAGCCCAAACGCTAATAATTTTTTGCCATTTTGTTTTTGATACGTGGCGGTCTGTTCGTCTCTCTGCCCGAAACGACACTAAATATATAACAACGTGGCTTGCGAGTTACCGTTGAGTGGTTGCGCCAACTCAGGTTGGGTTTTAGATATCGCAATGGTTGTGACGGGCCGAGCAACTCGTGACTCGTAGGTGTTCATGCGCCGAGGAGAATGAATTATAAGCAACCATTGAAGTACTGGTATCTCGTAGTTTAAATACCGGAGTCGACGCCGCTCTTGAGCTTCCAAAGCTACGTACCTCTTACAGCCATTGGCAAAGCACAATGTCTAATCCCTCGTCAGCTACTCCCGCCGCTAAGCCTGGTGAAGCTCATGATGTCCCTCATCAACCTAGCGACGAGCCCGCCACCAATCCTCCCAGCGAATTGAGCAATGGCAGCAGAGAAGAGCCCGAGAAAACTCACCAGCAGTACTCAGAAGTGCGAAGGCCCCGACCTTGTTCAGCCAAGCCAAAGCAATGCTGACCTCTCTAACAAGAAAGCGGCTCCAACACGCAATCCCGGTCCCCCAGCCATCCAAAATACTGACAATGTCGTATCCGGCGGGGACTCTATAGAGCCTGTCCCGGTTCTGATTGCTTCGGAAACCTTTAGATCGGCTAAATTGGAAGATATTGACAAAGAGGTGGCTTCCCGCTACACCAAGAAAAACAGGAAAAAGCTTAAGAGTTTTTATTCCAACCAAAATGAACTGATAGACCAGTACCTCGGTGTGGGAGATGAAGAGCAACTCGCTGCCGAGGAAGAAGTGCGCATGCGACCCAAGATCAGGTTTGCAGTATATGCCTCGTTTTTTGTTAACCTTTGTCTCTTCATCATCCAATTATATGCCGCGATATCGACAGGCTCGCTCTCTGTACGTTCTTCACGGGGGGATTGCTGGGGGGCGAGGCTTCTGAGCCCAAGGCTGACCACGGATTGTACATAGCTCTTTGCCACAGCGGCGGATGCCTTCATGGACCTTGTGTCGTCTTGCGTCATGCTCATCACATCGAAACTTGCGCGGCGGCCGAGCATTTACAAATTCCCTGTTGTGGGTAGCTTGTGCCAAATAGTACAGACGTGCCAGTCTGATGGACTCTGTTATAATTGACCGGCATTCTAGGGTCGATCCAGAATCGAGCCAATTGGCATTATTGTCTTCTGCGCTCTCATGGCTACGGTGGCCATTCAACTGCTGGTACGGCACGCAGAGTTATTTCCCCTTCTTCTTTGCATCATTCCGATGGCTAAATCATCGGCAAGATTGAATCTGCTCGGAGTCTCGCGGGCGGCCACCGCGACGCCAGCCCGTTACAGGTTGTGCCGCTGTCTCTTGTCGGCGTTGCAAGTAGGCGCTTCTTCATCTGTCAACTTGAGATGGCATTGCGAAACTGACTTGCGGGTGCGTGTAGTTTTTATGAAAAGCTCCATGATGGTGTACTGCTTCTTTTACAGACGCTTCCCATCTGTCCATGTCTTCTTCATCGATCACCGCAACGACATTGTTGTCAATATTTTTGGCCTTGTCATGTCCATCGTTGGCGACCATTTTGTGTGGTACCTCGATCCGATTGGCGCCATTTGTATTGCCTTCTTGATCTTATTCTCGTGGGCATACAATGCCTTTGAACAAATCTGGCTGCTGGCCGGCAAAGGCGCGCCCAAAGAATACATATCGCGACTGATTTATGTGGCGCTGACGCACAGCGGTCACATTCTCAAGGTCGACACAGTAGGTGGCTGGGCCTTTTTTTCTTTTCTTTTTTTTTTCTTTTTTTTTTCTTCTCTTTCTTTCTTTCTTTCTTTCTTCTTTTTTTGTCTCACTCTGGCCGCACCGCACACTTGCTGACTGTCATTTCTGAATAGTGTCGAGCCTACCATGCCGGTCAAAAGTACTACGTCGAAGTGGACATCATTATGAGTCAAGACATGCCGCTGAAAATATCCCATGATGTTAGTCAGTCTTTACAGCGAAAGCTCGAAGGGCTGGCTGATGTTGAAAGAGCGTTTGTGCATGTGGACTATGAGCATGACCACAGCGTCCACGAGGAACATAAGCCTCTGTATGAAGATGCTCAGTTGAAGACCCTGAGAGAGTACTTTCGCTCGTTTATACGAAAGAGGAGGGGATGAAAGAATAGGTATAGGCCATACCTTTAGGTACTTTCGCAAAAGTATCGTGGCGGACTGCTATGCTATTGAGATTGTCGTTATGAGACTGACATATGTCGTTTTGCGCCGACCAAACAAGTATGGCATGAAGTACTCGGGGCCTTTCCCACTCGGCTCCATGGTGCCATCTTGAGCTGACTCGCTCGTTTTGTTCTACTTTCGCATATAAATTATGGGAATCCGGATGACCCTCGTGATGCTAATGCTCCATGATTCACGCAGAAAATGTGGACCAAAGTATGACGAATCGCTATTTTCTTGGTCTAGATTCCAATGATTCAATCTCAGCATGTAGTGGCATATATTGATTGATCGTCTTCTGTCACATTAATGTCGCTACTGCCCGGCAACCATGGAGGCCATGGAATTGTATCGATGCCACCCTGCTCTGAGCAATGGGCCAAAGTTTGCCTTGCCATGTTACGCCCTGGTTGGTAAGCCCAATGTGTATACTTGGTTCCGATGCAGGCACTTCACACATGACGAGCCATCTGGTTCCAAGGTTGAGCGTATGTTGCCCCCCTTGCGTGGCATGATTCTGCTCACCCAACTGTCAATGTCAAAAACAAGTAGCCCAATTACAATAGGTAGATATGTTTCTGTTTGAGGTGGATTAGCCAGTGTGTTGCCGTGCAAGCTATAGCAAGATGAATATGTGACTTGGCTTACACCTCTTGATGAATTTCGGTGGTGAGTACATTTGTTCACAGTCTTTGCTCATAATGTAGGACGGAGGCCTCATCGTATATCTCATTGAATTGAAAAACGTTGGACTTGACGTATATTTTGGCCATGCTTTGTCCATATCGACATTATTTGAAGATTTTGTACGTGTCTTGGTCCCCGGAGGCGTGTTCAACCGTATGCCGCCCTAAATACTTGACATGTACTTGAGAAAATTTATCTATCCGCATTTGGCATTTGCACCTTGTCTGACTTGTGTGCACAGGCAGGGAGTCATTGTGACTTGCACCGGTTGATGTTTTCATGTTGGTTGCGCACTTGTGAAGGGCAGCTACGAGCAATGCCACCGCCATGTCCCGCTGCGAACGAAAGAAGCGGAGACGTACATCGGCATGATCAGGGCGCACCAAAATGTGAAGTGGAAAATCTTGAGCCAGAAATGGAAGAAGAGCCAATGTTCATTCGGAAATTGAGGAGAGAGGAGATCAGCCGTGGTGTCCTAGGGGGAAGGCGGTGAGATATTGCGCGTGTTCAATGCTGGTTGGAGACGGTATGAAAGAGGAAGGAGCAAACAAATCTCGTGAGCAACGGGGTTGATGCCGACCCCAGACACAGAATGCAAGTTCGCAAGATCTTGTCTTGGATCCTCAACGACAGACGCTGAACACGCTCCTAGACGTCTACTCTGAGACGACTTGAACGGGTGGGTGCTGATGATGACGACCCCCGTACCTGGGCGCGTGGCATGGCGGAGGCAGCCAACCGGAAGTGGTCGGTCGATGGCCACAATCACAACCACAACCACAATCACCATCGCTTGCCCCCACCTTCTGAGCTCAAGTGCTCCCAGGCCAGGGACCCGCCGGCCAAATGACCTCTGCTGCAGCACTGACTAGTACCAGACTCCTTCAGCCCAACAGCCATGCGGCTTTGACATTTGCATCTGAAGGGCAGGCACAGCCCCTTCCGGATCCAGAGCCTCGATTTCCAGTCTTCCAGTTATTCCGCATATCCATTCGACCGTGGTGTGGTCCAACCGTTTGACCCCGTCAAAAAATTTCCCATCCAATTCGCCCATTCCCATCTTGCCTATGCGCCGTATGAGGTTGATGGATGCGAAGTTTGACCACACTCAGCCTTGGCTTCGCTCGACCATCTGCCCATGAACCTCACCATGTCAGCGTGTGAGCCTTTTCTTGCGACGGTTTTCCCCTGTGCCCTGGTGCAAGCAGCCTGGTGATTCGGACCAAGGTTCCTGGACAGCTCAGAAACAAAAATCTCATATCAACCGACTCTGCGTTGATTTGGCCGCATCCACTTACACCAGCTCACAGCCTCACTCACGCTCCATGACACAGGCCGGTGCCCGAGACCGCCAAGGCAGGCGTGGACTGGTATCACACAGTGACATCGGGCGAATTTTGCAGGCGTATATGGCCCAAGGGTAGCCGTTATTGAGTGTGGTCATATCTAGGCGCCTCACGACATACTTCAACCAAAATCACAGACAGTGCAACTTTCAACCCACCCAGCACCATTCACGGGTGTTACTACTTTTGAACACGCTGGTTCTCGTCCGGATGAGCTGTACAGGCTTTGCACACGCGCGCGCGAGCGGATATATATACATATATGGGTCGCTCGACCTTGCAGCCGCCGCGGAAGCGCAGCACAGACAAAGGACCTGCTTCTAGACACCGCAATTCTCTTCCAGCTATCGAGGAGCAATCAACATCCAACATGGAACTTCACAAATGTTTAAACGACGCTGACCGCCAGGACAAAGAGGCAGCAAATCGTATGGTCCAAGCTCAATATAACGAACTCGATGCACGAGGGCTGAGCAATTCACCTCCCCTAAATATCGGCTCCATTGGCTCCAAACCCAACAGCTCCGAGGACCACGCCGAATATATGAAAGAGTATGAGGCGGCTTACGCAAAAGAACGGAACAGAATTTGGCAGCAAGAGAAAGACCTCGCTTTTGATTCAAGATGCCGTGCAAATGCTACCGCACTCGAACAGCGGGTTGATCAAATACTGCATGAATTTCGCAGGCAAGATGAAGACATGTTTGAGAACCAACCACCACGGTCAGGTCACGGTGGACAGCAACATCAGAGATTTGTAGGAGACCACTACTTGTCAAATGTTGACCTCATTCCAAAGACAGCTTTATGGCGTGTGGCAAAGCAAACTCCAAAGGGGAGTCACCTTCACAACCATTTCAACGCTTGCTTGCCAGCAAGCTTTCTTTTGGACCAAGCAGCACAAATGCCCAGGATGTACATCATGGGCGACCGCTCCCTGAACCCAGCCAACCTTAAAATGTGTCAGATACAATTCTCCATCAAAAGCGAAGAAAGTGAGAAAGATGGGCCCGGTCCGGAAAATATCTTTTCACAGGACTATGAAAGTGGCTGCCTCTGGTCCATGAAATTGAGCGAATTCTTGGGGCAATCCAAGGATAGATTCAATGGCCTAGAACCCATGGAGTGGTTGCGGACAAAGGTAGAATTTGACGAGGAGGAGGTTCATGGTCCGGAACAAACTCAACGAGGGTGAGTGGCGAGTAATCCAAGACGATATATAATCCTTTGTCAAAATTAACCTGTTATTCCGCATGCAGATCTTGGCAACTCTTTAATATGAGGACGAAGCTGATGAAAGGGCTCTTCAATTACGAAACAGGCTTTCGAAAGTACACACAAGCGTATCTTCAAAACCTTGTAGAAGACAAGATTTTGTATGCCGAGTTGCGGGTAACCTTCATGGAAAGCAACTACCTGTTCTCGGATGACGGTATAGAACGGAAGAATAATTTTGAAATTGTGCGCATCATTGCCGAGGAATTGGATCAGTTCAAGGCCTGCTTGACGAACAAGAATGCGTTTCATCACGTCAAAGTTATTTACTGTACACCACGATCTATGGAACCAGAAATGGTTCAGGCTGGCTTGGACGAGTGTATCAAACTCAAGGAACTGTGGCCAGGACTGATCGCAGGTAAGCAAGCATAAGCCTCACTGGAATTATGCTCAAGGATTCTCTTAGAATCTAACTTTATGGGCAGGCTACGATTTGGTCGGGCAGGAAGGGCCAGCGAAGGATGTCAAGTATCCCCTCCAGAAGTTCGCTTACCAGTTTCATTCATTCAGACAAAAATGTGAAGCGAAAGGCCTTGATATACCTTTTCTGTTTCACTGCGGTGAAACACTCGAGATGGGGACTAGTACAGATGGCAACTTGATTGACGCGCTTATGCTGGGTGCAAAGCGCATTGGTCATGGCTTCGCTCTGATCAAGCATCCGCACATTATGCAACAAATGAAGGCCAAGGGCGTCTGCCTAGAGCTGTGTCCAATTTCGAATGAGATCTTGGGCCTAACGCCTCGAGTGACTGGCCATTCAATGTATCCTCTCCTAGCTAATAATGTGCACTGCACTATCAACGCCGACAACGGAACTCTGTTTCGGTAAGTTAAAACTATTTTGTGTCAACTCCCAAAAAAAGTAACGAGAATAACTAATATGAGGGCACTTCACTACGCAGATCTTCCTTATCGCACGATTTCTACCAAACTCTGGCTGGCAAAGACGATCTAGGGATCTACGGTGTGAAGCAGTTGATTTTGTGGAGTATCCAACATGCCTGTTTGGACGACGACGAGAAGCAGCAAGTGCTCAAAAAATGGGAACAGCAATGGGCAGATTTCCTGAATCAGGTGGTGAATGACTATGATTTCTCAATAAGGACACCAACGCAAGGATGAACTCCTGCGAGTATTCACCACGTGTAAGGGCATGGCTGAGCAGGCCTGAGAATAAGTAGCGACGGTGAAGGACCGAGCCCAGAAAATGGGAATATTGAACAGGGGCAATCCAGAGGCTGCACAGCAGGCGGTGCAGATGACGGAACTGGAAAAACAGCCAACTTTTGCACCGAGGCAAGGCGCGACAACAAGGCTTATGTGGGACGGCTGACGACTTGGATGGCAGCGTACAGAGGCTGAGACGATGCAGTCCGGGGCTTTGAGCTGCACATGTTGCACGTGGGCGAGGGTGTACGACAGCGCTGCATGTATATGTAGGGAGTTCACGTCCAAGATGGTGGAAATTTTGGACGAATGCCACTCTAACTAGGGCTTGGAGCAAATCAGAGTCGTGTATACAAACGTGTTTAGAGGTATATTTTATTGGAACGCTTATGCGGAGGCTACGGCACGCAAAATATAAATGACGGCGTGGGAATCCTGACACACGAGTGGTGTGCCACTGGCGACTCGTTCGTGAAAAAGCGCAGCCAATGATACTGCAGGCTTAAGCCCTCAATATTGTTGTGGATGGACGACGGATAACATCTGGAGGTGTGACGGGGCGGACAAGGCGGGTCAAGTAGCGCGGGCCGGAACACGGCAAAGACGGGAGGGAACGTCTGGCTGCTGGCTCAGCCACGATTCACGAACCAAGGCTCCAGTTGCCAGTTGCCAGTTGCCAGTTGCCAGTAGAGCAGTTGGCAGACATTGATTCTATTAGTACTAGTCGCTGACGGGGGAGTCTCCCAGCCCTGGGCTCTTTTCCAGCCTCACCTCCGCAGACTTGCAGACCATGCCAGGATGCTGGGTGACGGCACGTCCGTCACCCCAGGTCTCCTGTTCGCCTTTTTTGTTTTGTCCTTCTCTCTTCCTCCGTCCTATTTATTCCAGAGACGCTCTGCTTCGCGCCTTGTGTGGCCGTGTCTGGCCGTGACAGCAGCAACTGATGCAGACGGTCAGAGCGCCAGATGACACCAGTTGAAGCTTCTCAACAACATCCCCTCGGCTCGAGAGCTTCCATTTTGAACGAACCTCACAGTCCCTGACCACGGCCCGGCCACATCAATCGGCAATCGCCCTGCTCCGTAGAATATATCCACCACAATTGTCGCTCATCATGTCTCAGCCCGGAGACGCAGACTGGAAGTGGTTTCCCAATGTCAAGGCAGGATGGTCCCTCGACGTCGTGAACCTCCTTGTCGTCATTGGCGAGTCTTCCATCGCCGAACACTCCCAGGCTATTACGGCCTCTCTCCCCGGTATGCTGCCTCGCATTCTACCTGCGCCTCAAGCTCTCCTCAAGCCGTCACGCCCAACGAGAATGCCCGAGACCCATGCGCGTATGACGGGCGTGTATAGCGGCACCACATTGGAGTCGGTTGGTTTTTTTGCCAACATCATTACGCCCCTGGACCAGCTACATGCCTTCAGCTTCAAGGTATTAGACATCAAGCATGCCGTCTGCCCCGTGGAGCGAGTACCAGGAGGGGCTGTTGGGGGAGTGCCTGCTGCATTGGCCGCCATGAGAAGGATGTTGCGACGAATCAAGCAAACAAAAGGCCATGAAGGCGACGTGGAAGAGAAGTCCGCCGAACAAGGGCTATCGTCATCGCCTCGGGAGCAGGATGAGGAAGCCGCCCCGGGAGCACAGCAGGACAAATCCTCCTGCAACGGGGCAGCCTCTACCGGACTTCCTCGTCGCCAGCTCACAGTCCAGTTCGCCGACGAAACCCTCGACAGCATGGCAGACCCGGACTGTCCGCCAGGACACTCCCTCACCCGACGACGCTCTACCGCCCGCGAACGCGCACAGGATCTCCTCACCTCCCCTACCGTAGCAGTAAGCAGCAACCGTCCCGCCGTGCCGGCCAAGCTCTTCTCCCCCATCCACATCCTCTCCATCTTCTCGTGCGCGCTCAGCATCGGCCTCATCGTCATGGCCGCCATCTGCCAGGACGGCACGGCCATCCTCGCCATAACCCTCATCTCGCTGGCTTCCACCGTCGTCGGCTACGCCTCGTTCTGGCGGCCCATACTCATGAAGCGTAAGCACACCAACGAAGTGCCCCGCGGCGACGTCCTCATCCGCACCCGCGAGGGTGCCTTCGTCCTCGTCCGCTGCTCCGAGGAAGTGGCGCGGGAGCTGTACTCGGGCACCGAGGAGTGCGAGTACTACGTCGGGGGCAACACCTACCGTGCCCTCATGGCCCTCGGCACCATGCTCCTCATGGTCAGCGTCGTGCTGCTGGGCAACTGCACGTGGGATCTCAAGGTCTTCATCGGCGCGAGCTACATCGTCCTCAACGGCCTCTACTGGGGCCTGGGCATGATTCCACGCTCCTACTTCTGGGACCTGTCGCGCTACGAGTGGCACGACGTCACTCCCCCCGACGCCGCCAGGGCACACCTCGTCACAAACGAACTCGACCAGCGCGAGGGCCACCCCTCCTTCACAAGGACCCTGTGGTACGCCATCAGAGAAACCGAGTTGACGGGCTGGGTTGAACGGAGCGGCGCCGCCCCCAGCACCCACCAGTGGAAGAAGTGGCTCCGCGAAGCAGAGCAGGCCGCTGTTGAAGGAAACAGAAAATGGCCCGCCGTCGCCAGAAAGGACATCATTCTAAAGGAGAATCTAAAGGCCGGTAGGGTGTTTGATCAGGCAGCGCAGCATGCGCCTGCTACCGAGGTCAGACCTCCCCCTGACTCTGGGAATCGATGGACAAAAGATGGGACATTTTAGATCATGATTCTTGCATTTTATTTTTGGGCGGATTGGCATGGCATGTTTGGGTCTATTGCACTTTGAGATATCCTGGATGAATTGTACTGTATAGAACAAGTTAAATGAGATATAAAATACATGTTGACTCTTGCTAATAACCTCAAGCCCTCTTCTCTTGTTTTGTTCGTTAATGAGACAGTTCCCATCGAAACAGTGTAGCGGCTTTCCATTTGCCGTGTAGGACTGACACCGCCCAAACTTCCTCTCCATGTGATAAACGAACCATTCCTCTTGGCGATCGTGCCCGAAGCCGACACCGCTCTAAGCTCATTCTCATCATCCTATTCTGCGCTTTTGAGTGGCGCAGGACTATACAGCATATGCATGTATCGTCGCTCTCCTCGTTGACAAAACATGGTTGCTCGCGGAAAATATACTGTGGCAAAGACGGCATGGAGACGGCTTTCGACTGACAAATGCGCAGACGCTGCCATGCCCAATTCAGAACAGCTAGCTTCACCATCATTTTATCCGCATCACGAAGTGAACGTGAAGCTTTTATTTACAAAGGCAGATCTTCGTTTCAATACTATATAAATCAGTGAGCAAGTCCCGTTTATACCGTATTTTCTGTCCCTCCAACTATACGCTATGCTTCATCAAGCGTAAAACTCGAGAATAAAGAAAAGGAGAAAAGTTTCAGACGCCGCCTCTCCATGCCCCCCAACCAGCAAAGACGCCAAATGTGCATGCTCCAACGCCTTGGGTCTGAGATGAGACCCCTGTCTATGTATCACTTTTGCACGTGTTCCTTGGCTAATCGTCAAAGTAAACACCCTTCTTCTGGGTAATATCAATCATGCCGCCGCGGTAGCTGCCCTTCTTCTTCTTATTCTTCTCCTTAGTGAAGCCCTTGCCCTTGGTAACAATCAAATCTTCGTGGGCTCGCTGTGAGTAGTCCATAGAAACATATTCATTAGAAGCAAACCGAGGATCCACTTTAATGTTCTTCGGAATACGTGAGAACGGGTCGTTTTGCTTCTTGCGGCCATTGGTAACCGGATTGGGAGGCAGAGGGGGATCTTCAACCTTGGGCTTGGGCGCAGGTGACTGATTGTCTAGTGTTACAGAGGTGTCAGATGAGTCCTTAGACGCTACACCTTTGGTCTTTTTGGATTTGGCCTTTGCTGAGTCGGAGTCTGACGCGGAGTCGGAGTCTGAGTCGGAGTCAGAAGAAGAATTGTCAGAGGACGAGTCAGACTCGGGAAGGGCGACTTTGGCAGCTGCTGCAACCTGAATTTCGACATCAATCTTGCTATCGCTGGCGGCCTCGGAGGAACTGTCGTCGTCAGAAGACGAGTCATCGGACGAAATTTGGTCGACATCCATCTTGCCGTCGCCACTAGAGTCGCTATCCGAATCAGATTTCGAAGCTGCTTTCTTGGCTGTTTTTCGCTTCTTCGCCTGGGGCTCATCATCAGAGTCTGAGCTGGAGTCCGAGTCCGAGTCCGAGTCCGAGTCAGAGGAGCTAGAGTCGGAAGACTCAGAGGAGCTAGACTCGACTGGCGCTTTGCGCTTCAAGTTTTTGGTTTCGACGACATTCTTTTTGGTGGCAGGAGCGACTGTCTTTTCATCCTCGCTGGAGCTTGAGCTGCTTGATTCATCGCTAGACTCCTCACTAGATGCATCGCTAGAATCGTCGTCGGAGTCTTCTTCGGATTCGACCTTGCTATTTTGACCACTTTCCCAGATCTTGAAGATCGAAACCAGGGAGTTATCGCCATCTATCGAAGTTTCACATAACCATCCATTTTTCGCAACTTCCTTCTGGAAAGCGCTGTGCGTCTTTGCGAAGGAATGTTGGTTCAGGAAGCTTCCGACCAGGTTCAAGAGTGCGGCGGGAGGTGCAGAAGCGGGCTCTTCCCTAGTGGAAGAGACCGCCTTGGAATTCTTCTTGACCATTTTGTCTGATTTTCTTGGTGTTTCGGTGGTGGTACTGACTGTTGCTCTCGCCTCTGTGGTGTTGCTGGTATTGTTGGAGAAGAGCCAGGAAGGCGGGCCACTAGACCGTGTCATGAGCTTTCAAGAATAGCACAGACTTAAAAAGAGGGAAAAAAGACTTCAATGCAGTTTATGTAATCCAAAATGCTATTAAGCGCTCAATGCCGACGCCAAAAAAAATAAGAAGGATCAAGTCTGTTCCTGTTCACCGACGAACCGGCTCACACAGAAGGAACGAGTCTCTGGAAAAATTTCTGTGGAAACCAGCCTCTTTTTGGCAGGGGTCCTGCAGGTGGGGTTGGGTGGGTGGCATTTAAGTCCCTCCCTTATCGCGTATCAGGACAAATTATGCGCCGATTTCCGTTCAGGTGGTCAGTACGGAGCAGTTACGGAGTACATGCCTAGGTACCTAAATACCACATACTCCGTCCACAATGATGGCAAGACTAACCCAGCCTGGCCGCCCCCATCAAAGGACCCAGTGCTTGCGCTGCAAGTCAATAGCAACATCACAGCTCTGTCTTGGAAGCTTCAAACGGCTCTGCACTATTCCATCTCACGCTCATCTGTCAGGTTATCATCCAATCCGCACCAGCAACCCGAGCCGAAGCATATTGAACCCCGCAGTCTACTCTCCCTGGCTCGAATCCGGCCTCTGGCCCTTTTTTGGTCCCACGCCGCTGAAATTACCACCCCAAGCTAAGCGCTTTCCATTTGTTGCTCCGTGAGCCAAGCAGTCAACGCCAATCTCCCATCCACCCCTGCCGATATAGCAGCGACCCAACTCGTCTACTTCCTACTTCTAGACGAGGTCGTCGGGTTCCGAGATCTGCGGTGTCTGCTCTTCAACCATGAACGCGACGAAGCGCAAGTTTAAGGATTTGCTTCAAGGTCTAAGCAGCCCTGGCCCAACTTCGCCCGACAAAGAAGCCGACAAGATGAGCAGTAGTCCTCGATATGGCACCGGTACGGCAAGCAATGATACGATTCTTCAGAAACGAAGGCGACTAGGATTTCCCGAATCGATGACTCCTACGCTATATAGCCCATCGCACACCACCACATTTTCCAATGTGGTGCTCAGGAAATCTAGTTCGCAACTAAATAGCAAGGCAACGAGCCATGGTCCAGCCAAATACTGCCCCGGGGACAGAGACGAGTTGCTCAAACGGTTGGCAACATTCCAGGAAATCACGGATTGGACACCAAAGCCTGACAAGGTCAACGAAATAGAATGGGCGAAACGAGGATGGATATGTCAGGGGAAGGAGAAGGTTCGATGTGTATTATGCCACAAAGAGCTTGTGGTGAAGCTGAATCGGAAGGAAGAGGAGGGTAAAGAGGTGCCGGTATTGGTATCTTCTGAGATCGGTAAGTAACTGACTCATTCAGTGACGCATTCTGAGACCACTGTTGACTAGGTATAGCGGAGGCATTGGTGGATAAATACTCCGACCTTGTTGTGTTATCGCATCAGCAAGACTGCTTATGGCGGAAGCGTGGTTGTGAGGGTGAGGAAGACGCGCTGAGCAATATCGTCTGAAGGAGTCCGGACTGATCTTGAAACCATAGACTCTTTAATTCGCCTCTCATTCTCAAATGCGTCGACAACGCTGGCCCAGCTACGGCAACGGTATGATGAACTGTGTGCCAGGTCTCCTTTTCTTCCATACGAATTCAACCTACGCCTTCCAGATGAAGTTGACATCGACAATGTCCTCTCTCAACTTCCGCCCGACTTCTTTTCCGAGCCCCCGCCGGTTGTCGACAAGTCTGGAGCAGTTGCCACCGACAAGCCGCCCAACCGAACTGCGCTGGCGCTGGCATTGATGGGATGGCAGGGTCTTACAAATTCGCGGATAGGACCGGTGCCCAACTCAGCATCGTGCCACACCTGCTTGCGAAGGTTAGGGCTATGGATGTTTAAAAGCAAGGAAGTCGATGAAGTGGGCCAAGTTGTGGTGCCGGCCCCAATGGATCACTTGGATCCGCTCCGAGAACACCGTTTCTTTTGCCCTTGGAAGAATCCGCAAGCTCAAAGTCGAGGTGGTGTTATGTCTAATGGAAAGGACAGTATGGCAGGCTGGAGAACCTTGGTCCAGACTATAAAGAACGAATCAGACTTGCGAAACCTTTACAGCGGGAAATCAAAAAGAACAGGACAGTTGCAGGAACAGAGGCTAGCGTCACCAAGCCCTGTGAGGGGAATGCCTGGCACGCCTGGGTCGCCCAGCCCAATCACTCCTGGTCCGAAGATGAATATTGATGCGTCATCAACGGGGACACCCCAGACAGATGCCGGTGATGACGAGGAGAAGACTCGAGAAGCAAAGGACAAGGAGCGGTGGGCAAGGTTGAGAAAGGTGAAGAGCTTGTTCGACACCAAAGGTTCAAGAAAGTTTCGGCGGGAGTTGGGTCGACCTGGCACCGGCCACTCCAACAAGTCCACGACGGGGACATGATGTAACATATTGATGAATGAAAAAGGCATAAATCACGGCTTTGACAATATTATTGCATGGGGGTTTGTATAAGACTTGGACTGAGATTCTGGCATTCCGGGATGTAAAAATGCGATTTTAAATTCACACTCAAGCGACGGCTTGATGATATACAGACACAAACAGAATTTACGTCCTCCATTCAATGTCATCGAATGATACAACAGGGCCAGTATAGGCCACAGTATCGGCCTTTTTTGCCACAGTTTCCTGTAACGTGAAGCCGGCCATTTCCAAAATTGCGGTTCTCACACCACCGATTCCTCCCCCATTCCTCAACCTGCCGGGGCTTTCCATGCCCGCCGCGGTAATGTATATCCGTGATGCTGCATCCTGTCCGTCTTTCCACTTGCCGCCAAACTCTTGATCGAGGCGATCAACTTCCTGCTGCACCACGTCCGCAAGCAAACTACACGTCTCGACCCATCCGTTCCTCGCCTTGTCCGCCCTTGTCAAGACAACAACGGTCCGCGTGTTTGCCTCAGCCAGGGTCCTCAGCATCCACTTGTCCTCGGGTAGCAACTTCTTCTCGGAGGACAGCAAGACCACGGCCCCGCGCAACGTCCTCCTCGCCTGGAGATACTTGATGACGGCGTCTCCCCAACTAGCCTGGCTTTTGAAGCCGTACCCGGGCGTATCGACCACGACTAGACTATGTCTGGGGGGCGGCATGCCCTTGGGCACCAGGCCTCTTGGGATTTTGGGCAGCGGTCCCACCCCGTAGGCGTTCATCAACGTCGTCCTGCCTGGTTTTTGGCTCACCCGTGCGGCTTTGGGCTGGCCGACGAGGGCGTTGAGAAAGGTGGATTTGCCGACATTGGACGAGCCCAGGACGACGATTTCGGGTGTGACGTTGTTCATGGAGTGGTGGCGGAGAGCCTCGGCGGAGTAGAGGAATCTGCACGGGGAGGAGGAGAAGAACTTGTCTGCGGCGGAGAGCTGCTGGGTGTAGGATTTGCTTGTGCGGGTTGTTATGTGGATGGGAGAGGTTGCGAGTGGGTTGTGGCGGATGGACTTGGATGTCAGGAGGACCTGTTTGTATGGGCCGGATGTGCTGGTATCTGGTGTTGCGGATTCTCGGGCTTGTTGTATTGCTAACGGTCTGCCTGGTGAGCTGGCTGATGCTCGTGGTTGTGATGGCGCGGGGAGAGGGTCATCGTTTGGGCGCGCGTTCCGGTCTCTGTCCAAGTTTGAATCCTTCTCCCGGGGCGTCTGAATCGGGCGTGACGGTGATGGCCGATTTGGCCGCTGTCTTATACACGGACATGGTGACGCTGAAAAGGGAGCCTTGCGAGTGTAGGTGTGTTGGCACAGCCGTAGCTCCCTTGGTGTGACTCGTCTCAAGAGCAGCATGTTGAGTTCAAGACGGGGCGATGAAGGATGAAATGATTCATCGCTCTAAGAGGCTCACACGAGGTGATGCCATGAAGGGGTCTAATTGACAAAGAGACGAGGTTTCGATGCTATTCGACGTTGGCTGCGGCACGTCGAGCAATTATGTAAAGGTGCACATTGGAGCCCCCACAGTCACTCTCCAAACAAAACTCCACATCTAACAACTCACTTGAGTCAAATCTCTAAAACCAGTCCGTTTGACCAACCATTGAAAGTCTCTTTTCAATTCAAAGACATTGGAAGACGAAGAAAGGCGACTTCATTCCGCCCTCAACAATTACAGGACAACAGTGCAGGGCCAGGACCACCTACCCGCAAGACGCCCAACACCACACTGCCAACGACTGGATAGCCTCAACCTCACGCCACCATGACAGTCTCACTCGCCGAGCTAGATGCTCACGAGCAACCAAGCGATGAAATGCGCGCGGAATGGAAACACTTCTACCGCCTAGACCCGTCTGTTGTGGTGCAGGATCCCAGAATCGATGACCCCCGACTTCCACTATCAGAGAATGGATTCCAGGCCTCGGGGAAGATTGATAAGACTCAAGCCGCCGATGCTTTTGCAGCGCTGGGGGATCATCTCAGATCGTTTGCGCAAGAGGATATCCCCGTCATTTCCCACCCACTACTACCAGGTAAAATAAAAATAATGCTCCCCAGCCGGGCGTGCCACCCCCTTCATCAGCAACATCGCATGCCAGCCTCACCTCACCATCTTCCTCACGATGCAAAGACGAGAAGCTAACCAACTAGGCCTGCTGATCATGCCGAACCTCGTGCCGCCAGCGGTCCAAAAGGATCTTCTAGCCAAAATTCTTCACAGGGATCTCTCCAACCCCAAACACCAAACCAACTTGCACCTCCATTACACTCTCCCCTACTCGTCCGCAACATGCTCGCCTCCAGACTCGGACTCAGTCCCAGACTCGCCTCTGCCTTCCCGCCCCCAATCCTTCTTCACCCTCTCCCCCGAGGTCCCCGCGACATTCACCCCCAAGGACCCGACAGTCCACAAGCCCCTGAGCGCCGGCCAAGTCCTCAACCGCCGCCTGCACTGGGTCACGCTCGGCGGCCAATACGACTGGACGAACCGCGTGTACCCGGACTCGGAGCCGCCCCGTTTCCCTACAGACCTCGCGCAGTTCCTCGAGAAGCTGTTCCCGGAGACCGCTGCCCAGGCGGCCATTGTCAACTTCTACAGCCCAAAGGACACCATGATGATGCACAGGGATGTAAGCGAGGAGGTGGACAAGGGACTGGTGAGCCTGAGTTTCGGGTGCGACTGCTTGTTCATGATTGCTCCAAACAGTCGTGCAGGCCGCGACGACGACAAGGACGACAAGACTGATGGCCACGTGCAAGGGGAGAAGAAATATCTACTGCTGAGGCTGCGCTCCGGCGACGCCATCTACATGACCAAGGAATCAAGGTATGCTTGGCACGGGGTGCCCAAGATTATCAGTGGCACTTGCCCGGATTATCTGGAGAGTTGGCCTGCGGAAAACGGGGAGTATGCAGAGTGGGAGGGTTGGATGAAGAATAAGCGAATCAATTTAAACGTCAGGCAGATGAGGGATTAGCCTGCCAACAAGCTCTCATATACATGAATCAAAAAAATACCACAGCAAGATAATTGTTGACTGCCTAAGTATGTATCTAGAGTCTATGTATACAATCCGCGCGCTCCACATGAGAATACACAAGTCAAAAAGGGAAAAAAAGAAATCAAATAAAAATATACAAGCCGCTGTGCCGTTTTCCATGTATATGTATCAATGTAGACCGCTGGTGCTCGCGCCGAATATCACAACCGTTCCTTATGCAAACCCAAAGCCTTGCGCATTCTCCAACGCCATGCCCAAACGCTCCCGTAATACTTCCTTGTCATTGTATTCCGGCAACAGTAGTGTTCCATAACACGTATAGGCCGTGGGCAAGTGCCCACCACTGCCCTCCTCCTCACCATTCTTTTGTACTGTAAATTGCACGTTCCGCATGCCGCCCACTGGCAAACGGTCCGATGCCGTGACAAACTCGAGAAGCTTGCGCTTCATTCGGTCGTCATATCTCTTCACAATAGACCAAAAGTCCTTGACGGTGTGATGCGACGAATCCCACCCGACGTAGCGAGCATATCGCCGAAGTTCTGAAACATCAATCTCTTGCACGCCCTCTACGATGGACTGTAAGAGTGAAGGCGTCAATAGTGTAAGAGACTTGGCGTCCAAACACGCCCGGAAACCGCGCTCGAATGCTTGAAACTGGGGCCGGATGGACACATCAGTCAGGTATCGAACGTAATCGCTGACGTACTCATCGCGGTTCTCACTTGTGACAAGTGGCGCCTCGTCCTCAAGTGCAGCAGGGCTATTTCTTGCCGGAGGTGTTGGAATACCCTGCGGCCAGGAAGATTTGTCCTTGCTCATGGGAAGAGTCACGTCGGCGCCAAAAGCCGCAACCGAAAATTCGTATGTCCTTGCAAAAACATCCTCTACCAACCCATCTTTCTCATCCCACTCTTGCAGCGCGGTCAGTCCATTTGCCAAATCCGGCCAGCCATCTGCAATATGGTAAAGCTCTTCCACAGGTTGACCCAAGAGCTTCCTGTACAGGGCTTTGGGGAAAGTGATTGGAAGTGTCAGGCCATTGTACACGGCTAGTGACACCAACAGGCCCATCATCTCAAACTTCCATATTTCGACAAGAGATCCTGGCACAAACCATGCCATCCTCGTCCTGTCATCGACCGTGAATGCCCCATAGTTCGGGTCGAGGCATTCCGCCATTGCCATTCGAAAGAATTCTTGTTGAACTCCGCCAGAGTCAAACCCTTGCTCACCGCCAGCACCCTCTCCCAAGTGAATTTTCAACGGCCTCAACAGTTCTCGTTCTTGCCGTCTCCATAGCTGGTCAAACGCATCTCTGAGCACGTGATCTCTGCTGATAGCAAGGATCAAATATCTTGAGGATGCAGTCTTAAGCAAGTCCTGCAGAACGTGCTTATGATGGGCGTTGGTAACCAGACTTCCTGGATCAACAATGGCAGTCATTCTGGTCTTCAGAGAGCTAGATTCTTCAAAGTTTTTGCTCATCCGCGAGAAATTGATTGATCGGAAAAAGGAAGTCAGTGTCTCGGGACTGAAGAGGTACGGATGGTCCAGGAGATGATGCCTATGCCTAGTAGAGGCAAAGCCAACCCATACGACAGGTATGTCCATAGCATCCAATCGCTCTGAAAAGTAATCGACGCGAAATTGAATGTCTCCTAGGAGAAGCATATTCCTGTTTTCGTCTAGAAGGGACATCAGAAAATGTTTTCGTATTGCGTTGGGCACTTAGTCACTTACACAATGTGGTAATCAAAGACAACGCCCCATGAAAGGGGCCATCGGTTGAGTACTCTGGGCGTCCGTTCCACTCCTGAAGGAGCACTGCTCTCGCCCAGTCCAACAGAAGCGTAGGAACTCGGGTTTCGTGTAACAGACGATCCGCTTGGGTGAATTCTAGAATACGAATAGGTCCGCTTCCTAGGAGATCAAGCTGGTTCAATAAGAGACCTAATACATCGAAACTTGCCTCGTCCACTTGACCGTCCCACTCCGCTATGTCGGCAAAGCAATTCCGAGCAGTAATGGCACAAAAAAGCCTTCTGGCTAATCGCAGAGCAAGCTCATTGGAAAAAACGTCATCGTACTCAAGGCATACTGACGAAGGCTGCCTTGCCGCTGTGCCTTGTCCACCTAGGACGTAGCCATAGGAGCGTATCCGCGACATTTCGTATAGTGTCTTAGAGTCCTCTGCGCAAGGGGCTACTGCTACCAAGGCGTGAAGGCAAATTGCCATAATACACCCAGCTTCGAAATTAGTCAAGGCCGGATTTGGACACTCTCCAAAGAGCCTTTTCGATGACAGCCTCGCTGGATTTAGACCCTCGGGTGGTGCAAACAAGCTCTTGGCTGCGAGCCACAGACTATGAAGCACAAGGCTAGGTGCCGCCCGTGTCATCCGCAGCATGCAGTACCAGAGGGTTTGAGAGTCATACAGTTTCCCGTCCTTTGTGAAGGACTTCACCAGGAGGTGGGGGTCGCTCAACACATTGAAGATAGTCTGTTCGTTGAACACTCGCCATTTGCCAGAAAGAACTCCGGTAGATTTCACTTGATTATTGGATCTCCGTCTCGCCAGCCGGTTTGATCTAGTTTGAGGTCTCGGGTGGCTTTCCATCAAGGTTAGCGGCCCAAAGAAATGCTTTTCATTGGTGTGATCTTCCTGGAATACATCGCAGATGAAATCGATCAACTCGACATTCAGTTGGCTCAGAGCCTGTGGCAACGGGTAGTTTTTCTGGCATTCTTCCGTTTCTACCGAGGCATTATGATGGTCCTCCGGGACTTGCTTACGCCTCTGTGCCCTCACAACGGCAATGGTAGTATTGGCAGAGGAATCCTCCTCGGAATCCCCATGCTCAGACGAGACTGGATCAACTTCGTCAACGGGGGGTGGAGATAGGCAGGGGACATTTTCGAAGAACGCGGGCTTCAGTGGAATTTCTGGCACAGTCCGCCCGACGACACCCGGTGTCAGTTTAGGACCCCGCAGTCTCTTATCCCCATGGAAACTGCTTGACTTCCCGGTTGGCTTAGGTCCCTCTGCTGAGGCTGGTGGAGGAAGTGGCTCTAGAGATGTCTTTTTCTGTGGCTTTGATGTAGTTGCCGTCTTAATGGAACCCTTTGAGTTTCGTTTCCGCCTAGAAGAATCTCGTGGGAGCATCGACTCGTCGGTACGCCCTGCATGTTCGGGCAGAGCCTGGTGGCTCTGTTCCAGTTCTGGAGTTATCAGGGGCTGTGAAGATGACTTGGATGAAGACTGTCTGATGAGTGACGGAGGCGGCGCAGACGTGAGATCTGTTCCTTCTTGTGTAGTTTCATTCGACTGCTGCTGTGTGAAAGTCGATTCGGGGTCGCAAACATCAGAAATTTGTCCAGATATTGCCCGCAAGCCCTGTGGAGTCAGCCACTCCAACATTTTAAAAGCTACCGTCCCAAATGTTGTAGCTGCAAATGACCTGTAGTCTCTGCTAACGGGCTTCTCTGCTATATTGATTTTGCTGCTGCCAACGGTATGCCGACCTTGGTCGCGACCAATGTGCTTGGAGGGTCCCTCGTCTCCGCCAGGTGGCTGGGCATCTGGTTTGACTGGATCACTTCCAGGACTCTCAATGATGGAGACCTGGCACCGTCGGCCAGACGACGACTGCTTTGGCTTGGCTTCGGCACCAACGGAGGCCTTGCGAGGTCCCGGCGACCCAGAGGCCCTGGGAGATGGAAGGTCGGAGAAAGTTTGAGATCGTGGTCGTTGTGTTGAGAAAATAAGATTATTCACGGCCGGGGGGGGACTGTTTGATCGACGCAAGTACGGGCAAATACCTCTGTCGGGGTTATCCTGGCTCGCAAGGTAGACAGCCAGCGTCCTTGCGCTGGTAGGGCTGTATCGTCGAATGGGCGCCTTGCCTACGAGACGCTTCCGACATGTGAAGCAGGTCGCGGTGTTGCATTGGGGAGAACCGCATCCGACGCGGAGTTGCGCAATGTACCTGTTTGGGGGACAGAGAAATTAGTATCCAGCAGATCAGATTCACGACTAGACAGTAGCGAAGCTATTGGGGGTAGATGGGAACGCATACCTTTCAACGAGCAGTTGGAAATCATGCCGCCTGCTAGCTCGATAGATAGCCCAGACTCGTCTTGGGTTTTCAACATCTTGAAGATAGTCTCGGAGTTCCGGCGGCGCATCGTCTGGCAGGCGAGGAAAAGGGGCTTCTTGCCAAAGACCAGCCTCCAGGTCTAGGATATCCGGTATGCAGTTGTTGTCGGAGGTATGGCCATCTGAATTACCACCAGGACCGGCATCGCTTTGCCGCAAGGCGCTCATGATGAACGATACGAAGGGTTCAGTCGATGCATCGGCTAAGGTTTGTCGTCCCGGGACGTCGCGTATGTAAATATTAACAAGTATAAGCTTGCCTGTGGTAATGGTTTTCGATGGGTCGGATGAGGTTGAGGATGAGTATGGGTGATTGCTGAGGCAAAGATGGTGGAAGTTGTTGGTGGTGGATTTTGGGGCGACATCGACTGGAGGTGGTTGCACGAAACTTAGGCGTTGCCCACCAGACGCTCTGATACCGGACTGCATCAGAAGTGAGCCAAGTACTCCGTACTAGTAGAATACTTTTATGCAAGCACCGCCGATAGCGGGGCAAGCCAGCTTTCCGGCCGGGGCAGCCACTAACACCGTTGACCTTGGAACCAGACTCGACAAGTGCTGTCCAGTGGCACACACAGAAGTATCCAGTTTTATCCCTGCGTTCCATGCCCAGCACATACCGCACATACCCGGGCGCGTACTCCGTACTCCGTACTAACATGGGCGCTTCGGTGACGTAAGCACGATGTGAACATTCCGGAAAATAATAATAGGCACCAGACCAGGGATTGTGCATCAACATGGACATGTACTACTATGTAGCTGCAAGTTGCCCCCAACTTGAATCCTCACCGTTTTGTATGCACCCTGTGCCGGCTCCGAGATACCGCACATGGCGGCAAGAACACGAAGAGATCTGCACATGCAGGCTTAAAGTGTACCTCGTGTTCTCTAAGTTCTAACACTACCTAGGCAATGGAGAAGGAAAATAGTCTTGGCCTGTTCACACAACCTTGAATTCCTGATGAGGCACCCTGGATTCTCACCTCAACTACTCCGTACGTTTGGCACGCTCTTGGAGTGACGCGGGACAATATTTCGGCCCTTACTACTGGTAAACCAGCAGATCAAGACACGGCCAACCTGGACGAGCCAGGCGAGGGCAGGTACTATGTAAAACGCCGGCGATTTCAAGTGCAATATTCCATTATTACACATAGTGGCTTTCTAGCAGCCAGGCATCTCTGTGCTCCGGCCGCCCGGCCAATCTGTCCATCAACTAGCACCTACTGAGTTCAAGATGTTTGAGCACGATGGACCCCGGCGGACTCTTTCCCGGGTAGGTCAGGCCGGCTAGGATAGTATCTGTCGACCTCATCTTTGAGCGGTTATTGCCTTTGCCAGGCGTAAAGACCTACTACAAAATATCTCACCAACAACTATATATCGAATTTCTCACGAGCTAAAGCGGCGGTCGCCACCTCTCCTAACTCCAACCACTGATAATTTGTAGGCGTAGATCACTCTATGAAAACTACTAAAATAACTGTCTTTATCAATTCAGGTAGTTCATGCAGGCGGTGCCAACGGTGACGCGGAAGCCTTTCGCTTGTCGCCTTTGGCGCAAGGGACGAACCAGACCCTTCAAGTTGAACCCGCCAGCCCTCATTGGGTCTTCATTGCCCTGGACCGAAAAAGCGTCATCAAGCCTCCTGACCACGGTTTTGTCCACCGCCTTCGATTTTGAGCTTGACCCTCCCAGTGACAAGGTCTCCGTGTGTGTGGAAGTCGGGCAACGGGGAGTCACCAGAGCGGGCAGAACTGGAGCAAAAACCTAGCGACAGCCCCGCAGGCTCTTTCCCTCTCTGGGTGTCCATCACTCTTCAAAGTCTGCCCTTGGTCGCTCCTCCCACCATCGAAACCCCGCCAGCCCAGCGGACGCCACCAAAAATCTTCTTGCCACTAATTAATAATTCGTGCTTGTCCAAAAGCATGAGGTCAGTTTCCTACCCGCACATCTACGTCAGACAGACGACGCGACATCTCCTGACCTGTTGACAACTCATATCGTTCATCCAGAACATCTTGCCGCGCCGTTCAATACAGAATCGCATCTTCACAAATTCTGTTTTGCGCTTCATCATGGCGAGTGTCGCCGCCGCCGCACCCGCAGGTACCGGCACCTCTGCTTCGCATCCTTATACGTGCAACACGTGCCAGGTTGCTTACCGCAACATCGACCTCCAAAAGGGTCATATGAAAAGCGACTGGCAGTAGGTTGTCTTGTTGTCCATGCCATGTTCATTATCCTTGGACTTTGGCGATGTTTCTGAACCCTGTGCTGACCCTCCGGCGTAGCCGATACAACTTGAAACGTCGTGTTGCCTCCCTGCCTCCTATCTCTTCCGAAGTCTTCACCGAAAAGGTCCTTCAGGCTCGTGCTACGTCTAGTGCAGAAGCTGAGAAGGCCTATTTCGAGGCAAAATGCGAGCCTTGCAACAAGACGTACTACAGCGAAAACGCCTATCAAAATCACTTGCTGAGCCAAAAGCACAAAAGCAATGAGACAGCTGCTGGTGGCCCACGGCGCAGACATGATGACGAGGCCACTTCTGTAATCAGCTCTACCTTCTCTCTGGGCGAACCTACTTCTGTGGCCAAGGACGAGCTTGATACCGATGCCGAAGACGAGTTCAACCAGGTTATTGAAAGCCTGCAGAATGCCAAAGTTTCTGCCGAGCAACGTCCTTCGCCAGTTAGCCGGCCCTCCAACCCCAAGCCCACTGCTCCTGGCGCCAGCAAAAATGGCGACGGTGAGGAAGACTCAGAGTCGACAACACCTTCACACTCCGTGGCCGAGCCTACTTGGACCTTGAACTCGTGCATCTTCTGCAACTTTGAGTCTCCTTCCCTGCCGCTTAGTGTTCAACATATGGAACGTTTCCACGGCATGTTCATTCCCGAGCGGCCGTATTTGGCTGATTTGCAAGGTCTTGTCAAGCAACTCCAGCGCAAAGTCAGTGAATACCATGAGTGCCTAAGCTGCGGTAAAGTCAAATCGACAGTGTTTGGCGTACAAACGCATATGCGTGACAAGGGTCACTGCAAGATCCCCTTCAGCACTGAAGAGGAGCAACTTGCAATTGGCGACTTTTACGATTTCCGAAGCACGTATTCTGATAACGAAGAGGAGGATGAAGATGACGGCTCAGATACCGAGGAGGAGAGGCGCGGCGGCGCCAAGCTTGGCTCGAGAAGAAAGGTCAGACTGGTTGGTGAGGATGGAGAAGAGCTCGACGGCGAGGAGGATGGAGAGGGGTGGGAAACAGATAGCTCTGCATCCTCGCTTGACTCGGCAGATCTCACTGCAGTCCCTGCCGAGGGTCACATTCATCAGTATGAACGTCTTAACAAACATCCCCACCATTCAAGTCGAGATCCTCGGAATCACCACCAAGCAGACGGATGGCATTCGCGAGCACACAAACATACCCACGCTGCATTTTATGACGACTACGAGCTGCATCTTCCCTCAGGCAAGTCTGTTGGCCACCGGTCACTGAACAAGTACTTCCGGCAGAATCTCAACAACTACCCCACGCCAGAAGAGCGAGCCGAGCGCCTTGCCATTGAGGGGCCCGAGTCCGGAGAGGAGAGCCATAAGAAGGATCGTAGCATCATCCTTCGCAACGGGCAGCGATTTAAGAGGGATGTTGTGCCGCGAGGAACGGTAGGCTTGGCCAACGTGTCAGACGAGAAGAGGCGGGCGGTGCGCAAGTCGGAACACCGTGGGCGAGACTTGGAGCAATTCACCACCAAGAGGACGGATTGGATGTATGGCAAGAGAAACAACAATCAGAAGCATTACTACTACCGCTTCGATGGCGGTGGTTAGTTGTGCAGCCGATATCAATATAGATATGACGATTTTGCAATGAAACGTTGGCTCGTTTACAGAGTACTAGTGTGGCTAGTTTCGCCTTTTGTGTGACGTTGGGCAGAGACGTCAACTGGTCTCTGTCCCAACACCCTTGATGAGTGTTCTCTCGCAACAGCGACTTGGCGAGAACATTACGGCTGCAAGTACGGCGTATGTATCGGTGCTCCAGCATGTATCTGCGGGGCTCTACAGTGTCTTGGCCTAAAATAGCAGTAGAAGATGCTATGATATGGCTGGTGCATACGGGCTGCATAAGGCGTGGTTGGTGTTGGTTGCAAAACATTGAGAGTTTGGTGAGTGGCCAACATTCAACCGACCTACTACTCCGTACTCAAGCAGACCGCCACAGCCCAAAATATCAAGGTTGAAATAAACCCACGTCACATCACTGGAAAAGACATGGCCAACCTCATGAAGCCCTCACAATCTCAACAACCATTTTACGAGGTGATGCTTGGTCCCTGGAGATGTGACGGCGGCGTGGCGGATATAATAAGAAACGAGGGCGGTTCCCCGGAACCGGGAAAGATCTGATGCGACATTGCTAAAATTGGCACTCGCAGCAAAAAATATTGAACGCCAGGACCAAAGAAACCAAACCCTCCAAAATTTGCCTGCGGGCACTCAACTCCTCTACTCTGTCGTTTGTCATTTCGGCAGCCACTCGGGGCTGATGCCGCATCAACCCTGAGCACCTGCTGCCCATCTGCCCATCCACAGCCGTCCACGACAGGGGCCAGCAAAGACGAAAACGACACATTGTGCATGAGCACGGAGAAGCTTGAGCTTTTTTATTTGCGCAGCTTCGAAAAACGGGGCTGGGCTGAAAATTTGGAGGGTAGTACTCCGTATGCCGGGGTTCTTGATCAAAAATCAAGCGTGCTGACGGGACAACAAGCAGCCAGGGGGGACGAGCGGTGGCTGACCGGGGAAACTTGGAGAGATTGAGCTTCTCGTTTTGCTGCTGCAGCCAACAGTGCTGTAAATATCGCACAGCAGACGTGTTTCACTTTGAGCAGTTTTCCACTGCGTATTGATTGTATGGCGTCGGGAACAAAGCCCAGCACAGGGTGGCTGGTAACAGGACATTCTTGCCACTCTTGCAGAGAAGAAGAGGAGAAAGGGATGGGTCGAGCCTCATCACTTCATAAGCCGAGTCGAGCAGCTTGCCGTCAGCCTTATTATACTTGGTCATGTTACGCCAGGCAAGGATCGGCCCGTTGCCCAATGTCCTGAAAATTTCCAGCCGGTAGTCATTTGATGCTGATGCCGTCCGCCGCCGTTGTGTCTGTCAAACGGAGCTGTAGTACTCTGTACCACCCACCCAGTTTATATTGGCTGTACCACCTCGGGCTTGTTGGTCCCAGGGCCGTTGTCGTCGTTCGTCGTTGTTCCTCGCTTCCTAGTTCTCTGGGGACTCCGTCTCCTCTCTGTTTGCATCTGCAAACGCATTCTTTGGTGGTTCTGGGAAAGTCTTTCCTTTGCCAAACGCGGGCCAATCATCCCATATTGGCAACAATCGAAGAAGCAACCAAACATACAACATGGCGCCGAAACAGACGCAGCTGTTGTCTTCCTCTCTTTTTCTCGTCTTTATAGCCATCCTTGTCCCGGGGTCGCTCTCGTTTGACCCCGACTTCAGATTCTACGCCTCAAACGCGCAGGATTGTCTGTACAGCGCCTCCAATGCATCCAAATGCACTGGTACCGACGCCCAGGACCTAAACAGTTGTCTTTGCAATAATGGCGGCGGTTTCATCACCAGCGCGGCCCAGTGTCTAGGCCAGAACAGTGCAGTTGATTTGGTGGGCATGTACAACACAATGAAGGGTGCCTGTTCAATCTCTAAAACGCCAATATCGGTTAGCCAGAATGCGTTCTTGAATGCTGCTAATGGAGCTGCCTCTTCTACCTCTTCGTCTGCCAGCTCGACTACGACTTCAACCACGAGTTCAACCGCTACTTCAGCTTCAACTGCAACTTCGACTCTCACTCCGACGACTGGAACGCCATCTCCAACTCAGTCAAATGCAAGCAAGGGGGCCGACGTTGACAACAAGTCATCGGGTCTTTCGCAAGGAGCCTTGATTGGTATTTCTGTCGGCACATCCGTAGCAGGTGTACTCGCCATTGGAGGAATGATCCTATACTTTCGATACCGGCAGAAGAAGAAGGCGGAAGATGAAACCAGTCCCATGATGGCCCAGAATGACTACTACAAGCGCGACACGGCGACGACATTCCCTCCCACAGAGCCATCCCCGTCCCTTGGGCTGTCCGGAGCCGATACCAAAGCTTCATGGGGATCGAGCCCGTCGCCTGCCTATCCGTCGCCCAATCTCGACAAGTCTCCCGCACAATACGCCGGTCCGTACGCGGCGCCCACCCCTCAAGACAGCCCAGCGATGCACGGAGTCGCGAGCCCTGCATTTGAGATGGATGCATCCACCACGTCTACTCCTGCGCCCGGCGAAGGGCCGGTGGAAATGGAAGGATCTGCACCTTCGACACATCTCCAGATTCGGCGTTGAGGAATTGTCGATACTGGAAATTTCGTGGTTGCAATTTTAGCACGGCGCATTTGGCATATCTCATGGCCGGCGATCGATGTTTGATGGTTCATGGCCCATAAAGGGCGGCCTCCGTGAAAGCGTTTGGCCACTGGGTAATTTTGTTCATTTCTCTGTCTTCCATTTGCTTCCAATTTGATACTGGTCATAGAGTAATCGATGAATATTAATGCGTGTCGTGCGTTCCAGACGTAGGTGCATGATGCTTGTCTCGGCCGGTCGGATGAACTGGCGGACGCTAAAAGATTGGAGACTCCAGACGGCAAGCCCAACCAGACCAGACTTGACTCGACTGTGCTCAGTTGTAACAAAGCCAGACACAAGTGAACCTCGGCAGGAACCATGGGGTAGTTGCTCGTTCAACAAGAATGATTCATTACTCATCCACGCCAGTCAACCGTCGTGCCTCCATCTGTCTTCCATTCGTCTTGCAAAACCATTCAACAAATTCTGCATGTTACTGCAACCACGTCAAGAAAGTTGACTAAACCATCGACGTAGATTTTAGCGTTGTGACGGCTATTATGTCGCAAGACAAGAAGACAGTCCTCATTACAGGGTATGTGCGAACTCCTGGAGCAAACGAGGAATATCGCAAATGCATGTCTTGTCGACAGGACCAGAATAAACTAATACCGGCCCTTCAGTTGTTCACCAGGAGGCATCGGCCATGCGCTCGCCCTGGAGTTCCACAAACAAGGTGCGAGCCAGTTGTGAGGCCTCAACTGGCGGCGAGAACTTACTCTATCTAGGCTGCCATGTCATTGCTACGGCTAGAAAGCCCGAAGCTCTCCAAGCTCTTCGAGAAGTAGGCATGAGTGCTGTCCAACTTGAAGTTACCGATGCCGAGAGCATCGCGGCATGCAAAGCTGAAGTTGACAAGATCACTGGTGGCAAGCTCGATATCCTCGTCAACAACGCGTACGTCTTCTCACCCGTGCCTCTCACCAAACGCTGCATCAGTCCTACTCACATGACATAGTGGCCGCACGCATACCATTCCCGCCTTGGACATTGACATGGATGATGTACGGCAGTCGTACGAAGCCAACGTTTTCGGCCCCATGGCCATGTGCCAGTCGTTTGCAAGCCTTCTCATCCCAGCGCGCGGACTCATTCTGCAGATCTCATCTGTGTCTGCCATCATGCCTTACCTATTCGCCAGCATCTACGCTTCCACAAAGGGCGCGTTGAACTCGTACTCTCGGGTCCTGCGGATGGAGCTCAAGCCATTCAATGTCCGGGTGATGGTTGCCATGACGGGCACCATTCGCTCCAACATCATGAATCATTTCGATCGCGTGCTGCCAGAAAACTCGCTGTACAGGCCTGTCGAGGATGTGTTTGTGCAGAGATTGCGGTTCAGCCAGACAAGAGGGACTATGGATACGCATGTTTATGCGAAAAAGATTGTCAAAGAGGCGCTCAAGGGTGAGGGGCGGTTTGGCGGCTTGTTTGGACGGACGCCGGATTGGTATTGGGCTGGAGGATTTTCGTATGGTGCTTGGATATTGAATACGTTTTTCCCGTCCTGGTTGGCCGAAGCGGCGGTTGCGTGGTTCTTCAATATTGGGGTGTGGTCAAAGAAGCTTAACACTGCGAATAGGAAGGATTAGGACAATTGCGATTGCCTCAGGGTGTGCCAAGGTAAGCAGGCGCGTATGTTTTTAATGACTTTGATGCGAATGAGAGAGTGATATGGAGGTTTATCATAATAGTCTTGCTTCAGACGTTCTCAAGAGTCAAATCTAGGTGCCATATGATTCGCCCTGACCAGTTTGGTGTGACGTGTATTTCTTAATCAGTCACTCCTCTGTCGACGAGTTATTAATGGTATGCCCCAGGCATTCCAGTTAGCCTATCCAATGGACGTTATCTGTCGAGCGATCACTAGGGCCCTTGCTGCCCAGCCCAACATACTTCTGAATGGTAAAATTGTAACAGACAGCTTCGGAGTTCATGATGTATAATCTCTCAAAATACGCCTTCATGGCAAAACATGTGCTGACACCTAGTATCAACGTAAATTGTCGTAATATGAGATAACTAACTGTATTGGTGGTCCGCGTGCCTCGTGGCAAAAAGGCCGGATTTGGCTTCCGGCTTGACGGCTGTGAGAAAACTCCTAGTCACTCGCAGATGTATCAAAGACATTTTGGGGGCGAAAATGTAGTCTTATTATTTTGTGAGGGGGTTTTCGAAACCGTTGCGCGGCAAGTATGCCAATAAGTCGGCACAGAGTGGAACAGCACATAGCCCGATCGTCGGCGATCCGATTTCCTAGTTAGGCAATGTTTCGGCCGACAACTCCGCGATCTCAACACCTGTTGATTGGCGCCACGGACTCTGGGCCAGAAGTTCCTGCTGAATACATACAGACTGTGGAGGACCAACCAGGAATTTGACCGTGGTGCTTGGCTACTGTATCAAGACCTTGGGCTGCTGAGGTCTCTAGGCTGCCGGGGTCGGCTGGCAGGTTGACTCAACGAGATGAGGAGGTTGAATCATTGAAAGGGCTTTTATTCAAAACAAAGAATACATATTTCTCCAGTTACTCTCTGCCTGGGCTTCCAGAATATGATTGGCCTGTTGTTTACTCATCCAATGGCACCCCGTTAGACATGCCGAGTCTCTTACTGCAGGGATATCACACCCTGCTCGGGCTGGTGCAAGTCCGTTGACGGCGCAGTCGACGGCTGGGACATGGTTGCGCAAAATACGGTCCTAGATAAGGCAGCACGCATCGCGACCCAAGGAAACGATGATACCCCCCGGCATCCAAGACGGGGCTCGCATATGCCTACCAGATGCTACTCGCTTGGATGGGCACCGACGAGCGTCAGATGAGGAATGACGTGGACGAGCACGAGGCGCTGCTACAAGTGCCAATCTACAAGTCGACCGAGAAAATCTCCAACGTAGTTCTCTTTAATACATGAGCTTGTCCCATAAACATCTTGACGTCCTCCAGGAAGAATAAGGAGAGACACGACAACAACACTTTGCCCGCCCAGAGGCTGGTACTAGTAGCTGGACTCTCGCCCGCAGCAGTAGCCACAGTCATACCAGTGTTTAATCCCTCCAAACCAGGATCCCCTTGGCATAAAGGCCCGAAATAATACCCACGCCGCGCTTCGAATCCCTGGCCGCCGTGGCACTCGTGGGATACTCCGTGCCGGCGTACAGACTCTTGAGTCCCTCGGCCTCGGACCACTCGGCCACCCAGGACGTCGCCGTGGCCTGCTCACAGTAGGCCCTCATGGCGTCGTCGGCCCTCGCCAGCTCAGCGGCGTCGTTGCAGACGTGGCGGCTCGCGGTGAACTTGACCAGCGACGGGAAGTGAGGGTGGCCAGCGATGATGAGCTTGCCCCCGTGGAGGGACAAGTTGTCGGGCAGGAAGGGCACCGGGATAGACGACGCGTAGGCGAGAGAGCCGTCCCCGCGACGCTCGTACAGGTACACGGCGCTCCGGGTGGTGGAGGCGACGGCGACGGCGGTGGCGTTGAGCACCTCGACGCCGTTGGCAAAGGCGGCGCGGGCGACGACGCGGGCCTCGTCCACGCCGCCGGGCTTGTCGGCGGACAGCCGGAGGTGGACGACGGTGCCGAGGGGGAGGGCGAGAAAGGTTTCCGCGCGCGCCAGGAGCTTCGACCGCCTCGCCAGGAAGTAGTGGTCGTTGGAGACGTAGAGCTCGCGGCTGCCGGCGAGGGCGATGGAGTTGGGCCCGTGGATGAGCGGGTGCTGGATGGTGCCGGCGTGCGAGGCCACGAGGCGGTCCAGGTCGAGGCTGAAGAGCTCGATCCTGGGACCAGCCTTGGCGTGGTTGGCAGCGAACAGGGTCGACGTCTGCTCGTCGTATGCCATGCCGAGGGTGTGGAAGTCGGCCTCGCCGGCAAAGCCGACCACCTCGACGCGTCTGAGCGCGCTGGCGTCGGGCGCAGAGGCGTCCTTGTAGTCGTAGACGTAGAGGCTGGCACTGGCTGGGTCGGGGAGAAAGATGCCCTGCGGTTGGGGTTGATGCGCGTTAGGGCCGGGCCGGGGCAGCGAGGCAAAAGTGAGGCAAAAGCGAGGATGAGGATGCCTTTGTAAAGGCCCGACGACGTACCATGACCGTGTTCCAGCGCTCCCGGCCGGCATCGCAGGCCATGAGGGCCACGCCGCGGCTCTCCAGCACGAGCACGTCCTCGCAGCTTCTCACCCGGTCGGCAAACTTGATCTCGTGGTGTGAAAAGGTGTTGATCTCTGGCAGGCGGCCCGGGGCGTTGGTGTACACCATGAGGAGCTCCCGGCCACGGAAATACAGCAGCGACGACAGCGCCGCCGTCAGCAGCACGGGCTGGTTTGTTTGCTTGGCGTCAGCTGAATGTTCTATTTTATTTTATTTTATTTTTATACACCAGGCGTGGACTGGTAGCTTACCCAGATAGATCTCGAGTTGGACATGGCGACTGCGACTGCGACTGCAATGTTCGCGGTGCGAGGTGGCTGGCAATTGAGATGAAAAAAGGTGAGAAGGGATGATGAATGGGCGCCGTTTGCATGGTGGAAAAGAGGTGCAAGGTTCGGGGTTCGAGCAGACGGCCTGGCAACACACGACCGAGCTGGTGACACCCAATATGAAGGCGGAACATTCCGAATACTGCTCCTACGTGAAACATGGGCAGATGTCTTACGTACGACTGTGCCGTGTTGAACTCGGAGGGGCGGCGTGCATCATGCGAAGTATACACCTCAAGCAGCACGTAGTAGTATTATCAGTACATGTACCATTTTGCCGACTGAGACGGGAAACCACTTCGGAAAACCCTCCTGGGTTTGCCGGCTTAATGTGGGGAATCCCGGAGTCCGGACAATATTCACACCTCAACGCCGACGTACACACACTTCTAATCGCAGCGAATAGACACGTTGATACGGAAAACCAAGGGAAAACTATTCAAATAATGAAACTATAAATCCAATCACATCCAAGCGTTTCCCTCGCTACATCTCACACCTAAAACCTGCCGTCTCATCATCACCTCTTCTATGTACATATCCTCCCGTCCACTTACACCATAACCCTAACCCTACGTCCACATACTCGAGACTCGAGAGCATCAAAACCTCATACCAGCGTCCACCATGGCTCACCTCCTAAACCACTTCTTCCCCTCCAACGAAAGCTTCGGCTACGAAGCCATCCGCGCAGCAGGCTACGCCACCTGCGGCGCCGCAGACATCGGCGAGATCATCGCCATCTGCCACAACATCCCCGCCGGCGACGAGGACCTCTGGCTGCAAGAGTGGAAAGCAGCCGCCGACCGCGCCGTGGCCAACGCCAACACCAGCCTGTCCAGGGGAAACACAGTCGGCGCCAGGGACGCCTTCCTCCGCGCCTCCAACTACTACCGCACTGCCGAGTTCTACCGTCGCCAGGACCCGCACCACGACCAAGTCGCCTCTGCCGTGGCCGACGCCTCCTGCGATGCGTTTTACAAAGCGGCCGCGCTGATGCCCCATGTCACCACCAGGATTGCCATCCCCTACGAGGGAACAACGCTTCCCGGTGTCATGATGAGGCCCGATGCGGGCCATGAGCCCAGGCCCCTCGTCATCGTGAACGGGGGGTACGACTCGACCATGGAAGAGGTCGTTTACAGCGTCGGAGCCGCCGCTCTCCAACTCGGCATGAATGTCCTCGCCTTTGACGGGCCCGGGCAAGCCTCTGCCGTCCGCAAGCAAAACCTCTGCTTCAGACACGACTGGGAAAAGGTCGTCACCCCCGTCGTCGACTACGCCATCTCCCAGCCCTTTGTTGACTCTTCGAAACTCGTCCTCGTCGGCCTCAGCATGGGCGGGTACCTCGCGGCCCGGGCGAGCGCATTCGAGCACCGCTTCGCAGCCGTCGTCCTCAACGACGGCGTGTACGATTTCGGCAGCGCGTTCCTCTCTCAACTGCACAAGATCAAGCCCAGTGCGCTGGAAGTGGGCGCCATTCTCGTCAGCGATGAGCACGATGACCAGGTCAATGCCGTTATTCGCGAGGCGGCAGCGCGCGACACGGGTATCAAATGGGCCTTGAATAACGGCAAGTGGGTATTCGGAATCAAATCCGAGGCAGGCGTTATTCGCGAGGCGCAAAAGTATACTCTTAAACATGTTGTTGAGCAGATCAACACGCCGACGCTGGTGCTTGATGCACCCGACGATCATTTTCTCAAGGGCCAACCGCAAGAGTTGTTTGGTAGGATGACGTGTGAGAAGGCCTTGATTAGTTTGACCCGGGATGAGGGTGCAAGTATACACTGCCACGCAGGTGCTGGCTCGAGACTGGCGCAGGTCGTTATGGATTGGCTTCTTGAAAGGCTCAATTAGGGCGGCATGTTGGATGAACTGGCAATTGGAGGTAACTCGACGCTCGTTAGCAGATTGTGTATACAACATGTATTACAGACCTGTGCTAGGTTTAATACTGAATACATTTGTAATACTCTCCGTAATCTAGACGAATTAAAAATATCACCATTCACTCGTCTATCCTGGGATTAATTTGCGGCATCGTCCCCCGGCTGCGTATATGATGCGCATCCTTGGACTTGGATGGCACCCGTTCATGACGAAGCCATCCTCCGCTCGTCACACCTCTCCTAAAATTTCTCGTCATCAGTCCCGCTCCAATGAGAATAAGAGTGCTGATGAGTTCCGGCAAGAAGGACAACAGCACACGTATCGTCAAGGACCCGGTCGATGGGCTGAGGTTTGGATCAAGAGTAACGAGTGGGACAAGAGTGTAGAGCACCCGGATGCCGATAAAAATCAGCACGAATAGGGTTGCCCAAGTTAGCTATTCCATGTATCAGCACAAAGACACCAAACAAAAACACATGGGGAACTTGGACAGAGTACGAACCCGTCTACCAGCTTCAAAACCAGAGGCATCAATCTGTGCCCCCGTTTTGGCAAATGGTCAACACTGCCCACCATACCAAAACGATCCAAGCAACAGTGATTATGTTAATCCCGACTTTTATGAGTGGGAAATCGGACTCTTTTGCCTCGTCGCTTTGCAGGCCAGAGTTGCCCACGGCCAGGATCGCAAGACCGGATAGGACAAAAGGTTTGTATACAAGAACGTAGAACCGACCGTGTTTGGGGCCTTTGTCAGTTCGTAGCTAGTGTCGCCTGCATAATTACATTATTTAGCCGGCTTGCCTAATTTGTGAACTGTTGCGAAAATGGAAAATGTTACCCTTCGTGTAGAATGCCCGAGGCACCTAGGTTCAACGGGGATAATCCGATGTTCGCAATCATTGTAGCCCCTTTGCTACCGTCTATATCCAACGAACTTCCGACAATGCGCAGCACGCAAAACGCAAAGAGATAGATCCATCCGAGGAAGCCGGGCCGGCCATGTTTGTATAAGATGAACAGCACTGGTATAGATAGGCAAATGAAAATCACCATTTGGGCGACTGAAACAGATTTCATTGTGAAAGTAGAAATTTCGAGCAAAGTCTTCTTTGAATGAATTTCCAGCTTGAAATTCGAAAACATGAGATGAAATCAAGAATCAGACTTATATATGGATCTGATAGTGGAGATGCGTACGCTCTAACGGGTTCTCGATTCCGTCTCACGAATCAATTTCTTTCTATGTAGATATGTTGATCTTCAATGTTGCCTGCAAGCTCATACGAAGTTGCCGTTCTGAGCCATGAAGCATGCGCCGTCTGATTTTCAGCCTTGAAAAAGCGGATCTTAAACGAGACCGAGGCCGATACCGAGACTGAGATCGATATTTGATAGGCCTCTGACACAAAGGCCCGGTCGTCCATGAACCAGGATCTTCATTTCATCGAAAATCTTTTGCCAAGTATTTGATCTTTCGCAATGTCTTGACTATGGCCCAGTCGTAATTTGTGGTCAACATTCACACGTCCTTCGGGGCTGTGCTGGTTGTCTCTCGATATGACCCTCATTTGGATTCTCTCACTCCGACGTTCGCGACGGCGTGTCACTGAGTCGATGCGGCAAGACCACATGGGGAGGCTGATTTCCGAATAGCTTTGATTGGCCATGTCATCTGATACTGCCAACCTGGTCCCAGATATTCCTCAATAGCGAGAACCTCCCGTCGGGGGCTGTCCCCAACCCACCACACGTCACTAAACCTGGCGGCCGCGCCGAAGAAGTGTGCCAAAATCACCAAGGCGCGCGGTCTCCGTAGATTTAAAAGATCTAAAAACCGTTTCGGAAAGAGAATAGGAAATATCACGACTTTTCGCCATGTAGTCGCAGCATGCTCTGGTGTTTCTTGGGCCGCCAACAAAGCTCCAATCAAGCAGGCGGTACTTGAGTAAGCCTCTTGATCTTCAGCATCACCGTCTCCGGGTTGTGAGATGAGCAAGTATGGGAATCGTTTCGATTTGCCTCACAGAAAAGAACCGAGGGCTCGACAAACGGGGCAGACGACTCAGTGACCACATTAATTTTCGCTGTCGGGTCTTATTCCATGGCCATGGACGGCACATCCACGGTCCAAATCTTCTTGATTTGGGGAAAAAAGTATCCTGACATCGTGGTAGTTACTTCTACAGTAAAATAGTGCAGCAATCGCATTTCTCGACAACGCCGATCGCGACTCTCCTCCGCTAGCAGGTCAAAATTCTCAGCATTAGGACCTCTGGCATTCTGGCCGGTGGAAGGGGGTGGAGGAGGGCTAAAACTGTGCATAATGATGAGTCTTGGAAGAAGACGATCCGTTAGACCCGGCTGGTCGGTCATAAATACACTCTACACCATGCCTGCCACAGCTTTTCTATTTGAATTGGTCAGTATGCTGAAAGGTTGGGTGTGGAGCCGGTTATACGTACACATTTTGGCCGAGACTCGTCGCACTGATCAGCGTCAATATGTATGTTGGTAGTACGGTTGTGTGAATGGGTATATTTACCTTGACACGTCGTGCCCGACAGCGAGCACATCCTGTTCGGGACTTGGTGTGGTAGAGACGTGGCATGTTGTTAGTAGGGACGAGTTGATTAATGCAGCATGTTGACCGCGTGCATCAGGTTGAATGGTCAGTGGTGCGTGAATCTAGTTTGTAGCACAATGGCAAGCCATAGCATCCTGATTAGGACATTTGCAAGGCGCAGCCGTGATTGATGATATGGCTGACATCGTGTTGGCCAACCATATTGAAGCCAGACGTCAGCACGAAGGGATGAAGATTGCTAGCGTGGCCAACTAGTGGGGGCATGGCAAATGCCAGCCGAGAGTATGAGATAACAAACAAGAGCAAAGTGTGCACGGAGCACAGCGGTTAACGTAGACTAAAGTCGGTGTATGATATTTGCGAGAAATCCCGTGATGTTTTATATTAGTGGTCGAGTATGAAAAATCTACCTGCGTCTATTGCGCATTGTAGGTACCCTTCGGCAGGTGATGCATTGGGGTTGCGCCTGCCTCTTATGTAGCATCAAATTGCCGATGGCCCCTGAGGTTTGCCCGGTGCGAGGCCACAGTGCGCATGGTGACCAATGAATCAACCGCATCAATGGCCTCAGGACGCTGACGTACTCTCCGTTTCACGTTCTAACACTTCCGACGTCTGGATGCCTGATGGCCCAACTGCCGTCTTGACTTTTCTCGATTCTGCGTCCTCCATTCTGAAGTTAATCCCAACCCTTAGATCAATTAAATATATCAATAGTCTCTCGGATAGTGCTCTCTTTCCCCCCCATCATGTCTCGGTTTTCGCATTACGACACCGATGAAGAACGACTACCCGAGGGCATGCGCCGGGTTGGTTACGATGCTGACACTCAGGTTTACACGTTCCAAGACGCAGACGGCAGCTACTGGGAGAGTGCCCCCGGTTGTCAGTATGGACAGCTAACACGCGTTGGCCACGGGCTTCCGGATGATGCTGCCGACACCGAGCCCTTCTTGATGCCTCACGAGATCTCGCCTTCCAAGTCGTGGCGGGCGGAGCTGATGCCACTTCTTAACTTTGGCGTCATTATCGGCGTGTGTCTCCTGGGTCTTTTTTGGTACCTTCATTACGCTGCCTCTGGTGAGGAAACTTCCCGACCGATCTGTATCTCTGGCACTTCGCCATACACGGTCAAAAAAGATGATACCTGCTGGGCCATCGCAAATGGGCGAGGAATCAGCGTCGACTCGATCTTGAGCGCAAACGAGGGGTTGGACTGTGATATGTTGAGAGTGGGATCTATTATCTGTCTACCCGATTAGGAAGCCTTCGCCCAAGGCTATTCATGCCGTTGCACTGAGGCTAGCATCAATTCTAGTTCCAACTCATGCTTCGCAATTGCACCTTTGGAGGCATTCACCGGTACAATCCTAATTCTAAGACGTAACAAGCAGTGTCTTTTGCCACCTGCTATCACTTTATTTGTTCCTGGAACTTTTGGTATGGGCAATTCACGATTAGGAGGCAGTTCTGACAGCCAGAATGTGCTCTTGGACCATGATTTGATGAGTTCGGAGTTCGGTCCTGCCCAAGATGTCACGACGTGGCAGGGTCAGCAGGCTGAGCCCTATGTCACTCGCTCCGTTCGCAGCATCCAGTCATTTAGGCGTTTCTCAAACAGGATTTGGTTTCTTGGTGGCGACAGTATACTACTAGTCCGAATGATATCCTACCATACCTGTCACTCTACTCCGTATAAAATTATTTGGCCGAGCTTGGTAGCCGAATTGCGGCACACGGGTTGGACAACAAGACGAACTGGATATTAGCAGACTTCACAAAGAGTTCATTTGGAAACCTTGGCCTTGGGGAGTTCATCAATGCTAGGTTATTATCGTGTTGGTGTCAACAGAACTGTGTGTAGCACGTAAACGGAACTGAGCTCTGTGATGAATTGGTCCGAAAAGAACCGAGATCCTAGACGAATAAAAACAAGCGTAGGCATCTACTCGACTTGCAGGCAGTGAATTATACCGACGTAACCTATATCGCTTGATGATGCTCGACTTATCTTCTCAGTCGTTTACGACAAGACAAGCATGAGGCTCTTGGGGACAGATCACAGACCACACTCAGCACTCCAAATCAAACAGGAACCGCCTTCCCTCTTCCTGTCACTGGGATGGAGTCGGGAGTACGGAGAACGGGGTACGTAGTACTACTACTTTGTAAAGCGAAAATTTTGACGCGTTTTCAGATACGCGTTGGCCGGCCCTGGCCCCTGTCCTCCCTGTCACAAGCGCTTCGTTGGAGGTGGCTGGGAAACCCCTGGACATCCAGGGACTTTCAGGAACTGGTAGTATTTAAAGGAGAGAAGCACACCCCAGCGAAATTTCTGTTGTTCTCATTGATGTTTGGGTAGCTCCGACGCCAATCCCAACACACCATTTATGCCGCCAGATACGGTGTCACCTCCAAAACTACAATACAACTAAGAGTCTATCAGCAGGGTGGCGTCCAGGGTTGGTCACGGCGATGTTGGCCATGCCTGCAGGAGAAGTTCTCGTCACGGCAACGGGGTTGCGAGACTGGTGGCCAGGTTGTACGGGAGTACCATGCCTGGTTGAGAGGAATACGTAATAGGCTTGGCCAGTCTGCGTCCATTGAACACCTCATTGAAAAACAATGATAACACGAGCCAGACATTCGAACGACACAACCGCTCTGAGACCCTAGGCATGGAAGACCATCGGCAGCGGTCAATCCGGGAGAGAGCGACAAGGTTTCCACACCTTTATCGATGCCGACTGCAGGTTCCGAGGCTTCAACGTTGATGAAAATGTCGACGGTCAATGGCTAAGATGATCCGCCAGGCCGCAATCTGCACATTTGCCTGGCCTTGGGTTAGCAGGAGCAGGCCTCAAGCTTTGCCCCTCATCGAAGCGGGGCTCTCTGGGCCAGCGAGCCCAGAGGTCCCTTGGCTGGGTGGCTACCATAATAATATTTTTTTTTCTGCCGCGATATAATTTCGAGGGGCAGACCACACTTTTTTTTTTTCTTCACCGTCTCCTCACCCGCCATCTCTTCCATTCTTTTCATGCTTTGTCGCAAGAGCGTTGCATAGCGAAGCGGCAAAGATGGATAAGGATCAGCTTGCTCAGTTGCTGCAGGCCAGTCAAGTTCGTAAGTGCTTCTTGCTGCTCTATTCCACCAGTCAGTCCTCAGCTGTGGTCTGGCATCACTCTTCCCCTCAACCCTTTCATCATGTTACCAGCTGGCATCGCTTGACACGGACGCGTCGTGAATCAACAGGCTTGATTTCATCCTCAATATCCTACTCGTTTTCTCCGAGGCCTCGTTTTAACGTAGTACAAACAGATGCTTCAAAGTCGACAATTTGCTAACACATGTTCTCAACAGCCAACACAGAACAGGTCAAGGCCGCCACAGCAGATCTCCAAAAGAACTACTACTCCAAGCCAGAGTCGCTCATCTTGCTCATCGAGATTGCCCTCACCCACAAAGATGGTACCGTCCGACAGCTTGCCGCCGTTCAGGCTCTGCGACTAGCCCCTAGACATTGGGCCAGCACTGCTGAGGACAAGAAACCTTTGGCACGTTCCCACTTGCTTGAGGGCGCTCTGAAGGAGGACTCTGCCACTACTCGCCACGCCCTCTCCCGTCTCGTCGCCGGCATTGTCGGCCTTGATTTGGAGAATGGCGACGCTGAGGAGTTCCTCAAGCAGCTCCTGCCTCTCAACAACAGCGACAATGTTCAGTCGAGAGAAGTGGGCTCTTTCATCCTCTTCTCCATGCTGGAGGATAGTCCCGAGCACTTCGAAGAACACACCCATCAGCTGCTCCAGCTCTTCCAGTCTCGCATTGAGGACCCCGAGAGCAAGGAAGTTCGCATCAACATCGTCCAGGCTATTGGTGTCATATTGATGAATATTGAACCCGAGGAAGACCCTCAGTCGCTCAAGGCTGTTCAAGGCTTCATCCCCAACATTGTCAACATTCTGAAGGCTGCTGTTGAGGCTGGAGATGAGGAGAGCTACCAGACCATCTTCGAGGTCTTCCACTCATACTTGGCCTGTGACCCCAGCTTCCTGGCCGCCCACCTTCGGGACCTCCTTCAGTTCATGATCAACCTCGGCGCCAACACAAACGCAGAGGATGACGCTCGTACGCAGGCCCTCAGCCTGCTCATCCAGTGTGTGCGATATCGCCGAATGAAGATTCAGGGCATGAAAGAGGTTGCCGCCGAGCTCATGATCAAGGCCATGCAGATCATCACCGAGCTCGATGATGACGATGAGGATGAGGACATGACTCCTGCCCGCACCGCCATTAGCCTGGTCAACACTCTTGCTAGCGAACTCCCGCCTCGCCTGGTCGCTGTGCCTATGCTTGATCAGTTCCCCGCCTTTGCTGCTCACTCTGAGTCGGGCTACCGTATGTCTGCCATGCTCTCTCTTGGAAACGCTGCTGAGGGTGCACCCGAATTCATATCCACTCAACTCCAGCCTCTCCTGCCCACAGTGATCAACTTGCTGTGCGATTCTGATATTCGTGTCCGACATGCTGCCCTCGTTGGTCTCATCCACTTGGCTGAGGAAATGGCTGATGAGATGTCTTCTCACCACGAGCAAATTATTTCTGCCGTCTTGAAGAATCTCGAGTCCGCTTCGCAGGGCACCACTGATAAGAAGAATATCAGCATTGTTCGTTGTGCCTGTGGTGCTCTCGACACTTTCGGCGATGGCATTGACACCAAGATCATGGCCCAGTATGGTCCTAATCTGATTGGACCCATGATCAAGCTTCTGGACCATGAGGACTATGGCGTCAAGGCTGCGGCTGCCTCTGCCGTTGGAGCCATTGCATCCTCAATGGACAAGGAGTTCCAACCTTTCTTCGACGGCGCCATGAAGGCTCTGGGACGTTTCGTCATGCTCAAGGACTCCGACGAGGCCATGGACCTCCGCAGTGCCACATGTGACAGTTTAGGGCGAATTGCCATTGCTGTCGGCCCTCAGGCCTTCCAGCCATATGTTGTGGACTTGATGAAGGCAAGCGAGGAGGCTCTACACCTCGATAACCCTCGCCTGAAGGAGACCAGCTTTATCCTGTGGTCGAATCTGTCCAAGGTCTATGGTACCGATTTCGACCACTTCCTTGAGGGTGTCTTCAAGGGCCTTTTTGCTTCTCTCGAGCTCGAGGAAGAGGAAATTGACCTGCCCGGAGTTGACCCTAGCCAGCTAGCTGAGGGTGCCATTATCGGTGGCAAGCGTGTCAAGGTCAAGGCTCCTAGCTCCGAGGAAGATCACATCATCGCCACCGGTGGCGAGGATGACTGGGAGGATCTGGATGACTTTGCCGGTCTCGAGGATTTCGGTGCCGTCACTGCTGTTGCCCTCGAGCAGGAGATCGCTATTGATACCCTTGGCGACGTGATTTCGAACTCTTGCAACACAAACCACCTGGAGAGCTATGTCGAGAAGTCGATTGAGCAGATCATTCCTTTTGCTGACCATACCTACGAGGGGTGCCGTAAAAACGCCATCTCCACCCTTTGGCGCATTTATAGCCGGGTGTTCCAAGTCTGGGAAGAGAGCTCTGGCTCAAAATGGCAGCCGGGTATGCCTCCTACCCCTGCTCCTCCCGCGTCCATTGCCAAGATTGGCGAGGCTCTGCATAAGGCTACCATGGATATCTGGACCAGCGACAGCGACCGGTACGTATTTGCTGCATTTTGTGTTTTGTCTTGTGACTTTTGCACCTTCCAATATGATGATTACCTTGCGTTATACCCAGCTCACTCAGACGCAAAATTGCGGGTGCTGAGAAAGCGTTTAATCTACTACTGATTTGGACAATATTTATCTGCATAATCCTTCTTCTTGCCATTTGTTACCACGCTGGAAGCTAATAGCGAGATGATAGATCCGTAATCACCGAGATCAACCGAAACGTCGCTGCCACTTTGAAGGCTTGCGGCCCTGCTGTTCTCGTGGCCAAGCCCGACATGCTCCAGGAGCTCGTCTCCGTCGTTAGCTCCATCGTCACACGCTCGCACCCCTGCCAGCAAGATCTCGGTGCTGAGGATGAGGAGCAAGAGATTGATGCCGGCTCTTCTGAGTATGACTGGCTGGTCGTCGACACCGCCTTGGATGTGGTCTCTGGCCTGGCCGCCGCTCTGGGAACTCAGTTCGGCGAACTATGGAAGATCTTTGAGAAGCCTGTCCTCAGGCTAGTTAGCTCGACTGAGGATGTGCACCGAGCAACTGCTGTTGGCACTATTGCTGAGGTCGCAAAGTACTCTGGCGAGGCCATTACTGAATTCACCGAGTCTCTGACTCAAGCTTTGGTCCGCCGCCTCTCAGACCACGACCAACTCACCAAGTCCAACGCCGCCTATGCCCTTGGCCTCCTCATCCTCAACTCAAACGACACTGTCAAGACCATCCCTCTCTACCCTCAACTCTATGAAAAGCTTGAGCCCATGCTGTCCGTGCACGAGATGCGCATCACCGACAACGTCGCCGGATGCCTGTGCCGCATGATGATGAAGCACCCCGACAACGGATTCGTGGCGCAGGCCCTGCCCGCCATTGTCCAAGTCCTCCCCCTAACTGAAGATTATGAGGAGAACGAACCCATCTTCCAATGCATCTACAAGCTGTACGAACAATCCAACCCTACTGTGCAGCAGCTGACACCCCAACTGGTCGGCATCTTTGAGAAGGTCCTGGGAGAGCCTGAGGAGCAGTTGGAGCAAGATACCCGACAGATGGTGCAGCGTATGGTGCAGACCTTGCGACAGTAAACTTTGCCTGTCATGTGAGCTGAAGCACGATACGTACGAACATTTTTTTCAAGAACAATAACGCCCGAGGCCATGAAGATATGACTATACTTGATGAGATTCGCGAATCAATGACAAAAGTAAAAGGGGCGGTAGCGATGTTTAGGTTGAAGGATATGTTAGGTTAGTTGACCGGTTAATAGAAATTGTGTACGCAATACACCAAATTAAGGAAGCCTTGAAATCACCGATGCATGACTGAATTTAAGTAAAGGTCTCTAACATTAACGTGATATATTACCGCTCGTGGACTAGCTCAGAAACGCCATGCACACGGGGGCAGGCAGACTGCATCTTATTCTTTGGCGCAGAGCCATGAATCAGCCACCACAAAAAGCGCCAAAGTGGTAAGTAGTGTGGATATAACGATACTCGTAGCATACCATACATGTTATACAAACCCCGATCTACCATATCCTCTTGGCAACCATCTCATATCTTGCGACGCCCATATAATCGCCGTCCGGCTTCTTCCCACCCTTGTCATCGCTCTTCTTGCCTCCAGGGCCCTTGCCGCCCTTCAATCCCTCCGACTTGTCGGCATGTATCCACCGAGCTTTATCGTCCGTAACTTCAACGTCCCCTCTTCCACCGACCCGTCTGCCGGTAGCATCGTACGATTCTCGTTCGGCTTTGCCCAGCGCGACCAAGCTTTCCTTTTGTTTCATCTTGGCGTATCTGTTTCGCGAGTATTGGAGCAGGACCATGCCGAGCAGAAGTTTAAGGATGAGAAGGACAAGGAAGACGATGAAGAAGACGACCACCATTGTTAACGCGGCGATCAAGTCATCGGATGTCCATGAGTACCAAGGACGAGAGTTGAGTGGTGAGCCGTAGGGGTAGCCGTACGTGGCACGACCGAGGGAATCGCGGATAAGGGCGTCGAAGCGACTTAGTGCAGCGATCATGGCGGGTGATGAGGGCACGGCGGATTCTTCAGTTAAAGAGGTCTGCGTGGATGGCGGGATGGGCATGTGCACATGGGTGGCCAGAAACATGTGGTAGGTTTGGATAGAGGCGCGGATAAAGAGGCATGAGAGCGGGATGACTGCCAGGCCGAGTCTGCGCGTGAGCGAGGGGGTGACGAAGGCCTAAGACAAGTGAGATTAGACAGTATGAACATGACGGAGACACAAGTGTTGTGTACGTACATTGGTATAGTAGTCTTTGCACAGAATGTCTAGTGTTCTCCCGTAAAAGTTGGGCTTGATATTGTTAAACTTGGTCACATAGGCATGTTTTATCGTGTCAACCAACATCTCACTTCCAACAACAATCAGAAAGGGTGACAGCGCCTCGCCCGACCTCAACCACGACGGCAACACCGTGAAACTATGTGGCAAAATCGATGGCGGGTGCAACGGCACCGCACTCGAGCCATCTTCGTGCGTCGAGTCGAAACCCGCGCCGGGGACAGAGAAAGCACCCACTTCCACGATGTTGCGCATACCGATGATGAGAAGCATGATCCAAAGGTGGAAGCGCTCCACAATATCTGCACACGTCAATTGGAAAAGATTGTCCTTTTCAAAGCGTTTAAACACGGTGCTTTTGATTTCGACAAATTGGTTGGATAAGAGGAGGGTGAGAAGAGCGTTGGAGTATGAGTTGACGGCAACGTTGAGCGTAATGACCTGGTAGTAAAGCGCAACCGAGTGTAGACAATTGTAGACCAGGGCGAGGATGAACATGCCGAGCGGCAACAGGATCTTTGACCGACCAGAGGGGTTGCGTGACAGGGTTTCGTTGCTAAATAGACATTCCAGGATGTCTTGTCCAAGGGCTGAAAGGAGACGGTCGCCAACCTCGAGGATGTTGTATATAACGTACAGCTTGATGGCCGATTGCGCCCGTATAAAGTGGTACATGCGGCTGGCATCCAGAGTCATCAGAGCAAATGAGCTACAAATGATGACGGCTCCCTGTAGTAAATCTGCTTTGTGAAATGCTGATAGGCTTGAAGGAATCGACTTTGTTCTCTTGTGACGAAAAGTGCCCAGCTGTGGCACAGGGTGTCGCTTACTGGGAAGTGGTGATTTCGGACCTTCATTACCATCGACATGCAGGTCCGTCTTCGTGTGATGGGATCGATCCCGGAGGCCCGGTGCAGACAAACCTCCGTCGTCATTCAACAGCTCCCTCACACGACTGCGACTTCGCGAACGGTCTCGGTCAGAGACATCGCTAGGCCTACGGGATTGGCTCGTTCGCCCACGCTCCCACAGTCTACCCAATCCATCTCGTACATATCCAAACATCCATCTTGCCTCCTTGGATACCACATATCCCCACCATTTGATCAAGACACCAGACGCTATGAAGAACCGTATGGGAAGGATGGTGAAGGTATACAGCCACGCATCTAAACACGCCAGGGCGCCAAAATACAACGTCCGCTCCAGGTATGGGGGGAGTAGTAGGACATTCTTCAACCGTTCCAGCTTGGCCGCATAAGACTCGTACGGAATATCATTCAGATAAGATTGGTGAATATACAGTGGGCTTGGTCTCTGGGCTGCAAGCTCCAGCTGCAAGTGTGTGGGAAGTGACATGGGCGGGAGAGGGATCATGGACGGAATAGGTGACGGCGGGCTGGGGCCGGTATATCCTTGACTGGGAGCAGCTGGGGAAGCCTGCTGAGCATTTATAGCTGCTGGGCTTGTCGCAATGGCCGGCGACAGCACATGTCCGTTGAGAGAGCCGTTGGCCGCTTCTCCATTCAAGTTGAGCGGCGTCGGTCGGGGCAGCGGATTGTATGAATATCGTCGAGGAGAAGTAGGCTGCGAGCCAGTATCCAACACATATTGCTGAGCTCGAGACGTTGGTGGCGTCGACACAGTCCGCGGCGAGCATTGTCTCTGGGCTCCCTCTCGCACATGCCAAAGCCCAGCGTATCCAGCTCCAGCATAAGATTCGGCAGCCGCCCCGTTTGTTTGAAGCGTGTCTAATCTTCTCGGGTCCGGAGAACGGCTCTGGAAGCGTTGTCGAAGCATTTCGCGTTGCTCAGCAGTCTTGGCTGCTATTTCCTGGTCAATCGAATGACGTTCGGGAGCTGGCGCAATTGGCAATGAGTCTGGCGAGCTTGTGAGCTCCTGCACCTCAGCGGCGGTGAGTCGTTGCACGCTGTCACTTGTCTTATTCGTGGAGCTGCTCGTCTGTCTACGGCGAGACTTGACGACAGACGGGGTGCGAGATGCATTCATCCCAACAGGAAGGGGGGCCGTGTCAGAATGGTGGTCGAGAGCGGCGGCTGGGTCCGGCAGCAAGGGGAATTTGGATCGTCCTCTGCCCGACTCATCTTCGGATGCAGATGGCTCATCAATGGCTGTTACGGGCGGCGAAGGATATCCATGAGACCCATGGCCCGGGCCGGTAGACGAAGATGCTGAGGGGGGAGCCGTGGTGGAAAGCGGCGACGAGACGTGGGTGTTGATGGCATCCATGGTTGCTGCCATTGCGGCGAGACCCTTTATGGCATGGCTTGCGGGGGCATGGGGACGATGGCGGGTTGCAGAAGTATTAAATGTAAGCGTAGCTGAGAGGGCGCTGATGTCGATGCTGGTGTTGGTGTCGTCGAGATGGTGTCAGTATTAAATAAAGATGCAATTGATGTCAACTGGTCAAGTCAGACGACACTAGGTCCAAACGGGCCAGCTTGCAGGAGAGGAAGGCGGCTGGCGGTCTGGCGCCTGGGGCAGGGATCAATTAACTATTAGCGCGGTCGGGTGGTGCTGACTGGCAGCGGGAGCGGCTGAGGCTACGGCTGAGGCCTTGAAACCACCACTTGGCATCAATCTCGTGTCAATGTAAATCAGCTATTGCCACGGCCAAGCACCAGCCAACAGCACATATATTCTGGCAAATTTACAGAGCCATCTTGCCATTCTGTCTCATTTTCCTTCTCAGCGCGCTAGGTCATTACATCACATCGGTCAGCCTGCCTCCTCAGGTCACAAACTGTTCTCGGCATCCAGCCCCAAACACTGTCCCATTGGTATTCATCTACGCGCCAGTTTGTCAATCTTTCACAGAAAACCGAGCAAAGCCTTTTAAACAACCACAAATAAATGGCCAGGTCCTCCATTCTTATTGGTCCTCCAGTAGATAGTTTTCAAACCAAGCCACTGCCTGCAAGAATGCCTGCTCCCTGGCAAACCTTTGTACCTTGACCTTCAAATCGGCACGAACGGCAAAGCCGTGCTCCACCCCAGAAAACAAGTTAATCTGATAAGGCTTCTTAGTAGCCTTGAGAATCACCTCGGATTTGTGCCGTTTGTCAGAGGGGAAGATGCTGTCCGTCTCTGCGGCAGCAATGGACAAGGGACCGCCAATGGCAGCGAGCTCGTCCTCCTCAACAAAGGAGGGATGTGCGACGAAGCCGACGTCGATGCCGTTCTTGTAGTGGCGAACAAGGTACTAATAATCGAACTCAATTAGCGAGCCAGATCCGGAATTTGAAAAAAAAAGAAAGAAAGAAAGAAAGCAAAAACTAAATTACCTTGGCACCGAAGCAGTAGCCAACGGCTCCGAGCTTCGTTACCCCCAGCCCCTTGATATATTTAATACCAGCCTCGACAATGGGGTCGACATAGGGCACAGTATGAGGGTTGTTTCCATCGGTGCCCTCTTTCAACCAAGTCATAATGTCGAAGCCCGCCGGCTTATCATTCAGCTTGACAGGGTCGCCGTTGAACAGGTCAAGCACGACGGTGACGTAACCTTGCTCGGCAAAGAGGTCCGCCATCAGCTGGCTGTTCTGCCAGATACCAATGACATCGGGAAGGTAGAGAATTCCATAGCCGTTGCGGGCTTTGCCCTCAGGAGGAGTGGCGACGTAAGCATCGATTTTGTTGTCGATTTTGGTGAGCTTGCCCGTGGGCTTGCCTCTGTAGATAAGTTTAGCAATTTGGCGACCGCCTAATAGCAACGGCACAGTGAAGACTACAGTGTAACAGTCAAGGGAGCAGGGAAAGGCTGCACGTCTCCGAATTAAGACGTTTTGTCCTGGAGGGACATGCGGGGAGCTTCAACGTACTCAAACAAGCTTCCTAGGCTGCAGCATCTCGCAGGGGGGTTGGAAGCCATCTTTGCTTTTTAAAAAAATAAAGAGATAGAGAATGAGTCTCCGCGATTGACTATATGAGCCGTTTCAAGCAGTTCGAGCTTCGTCCCGTCAAATAAAATAAATGAGAACGCCAAGATGTTGACCCTCGAGGAAACTATGGTGCATGGAGCCAAGTGGGCAAGCTCGCTCTTATCAAGCTCAGCTTGTGACACAATGCCCCTCTTGCCTTCCGAATCTCCCACCACAACTAACCAACCTGCCACACGGAAATTCCGCATTGGCTCGAACCCCGTGGTGCTCCGGAGCTCGCCCCGGCTGGCCATGAGTTGCCGAATTTCAAAACACTCAAGGATTTTGTGCTCTTAAGTCCGGATACCACTTTAGACACGGCATTTCCTTGTGTTCTGTCGGTGCCGAAACGGAACCCGTCCATCCAGCTATTGGGGTTCAAGGTCCACCATAGGTTGCATGTTGCAAGAAGCACCCTCGATGAGTTTTGTCAATTTTTTTTCAATTTTTTTTGGGGGTTTTTCCAGTGACTGCTTGGGGTTTTTAGACCCCTCCCCTTCTATGCGCTGTTCGAGATCGCTGTAAGCTTGTTCAGCTTGTTCTCATCGGAAATGAGACGGCTGGACAAGGTGTGACGGAGCGGATCATGCCAATATTATTTTAGCCAAACCATCTGAGGCGATAATCTCCACGGCTTTTCCCTACAAGTCGTCTAGTTATAGTCTCATCGACTCCAGAAGGTGTCGTTTATTCATATTTCATAATATGTTGGGTATCATCAATATGCAAATCTAAAACAAACAGAGTCTTCACCCCTTACTTGGTCCGTAAGCTCTTTGGTTTCCTCTTCTTAAACACCACTGGCGTTATCCCAGCATCACCATCGCCCTCCTCCTTGACTCTGGCTTCGCTTTCCTCCTCCTTGACCTCTCCGCCCAGCACGCTCGCCCTAGTCTCCGGTTCCATTTTAACAGCATCCTCTTCCGCCTTCACTTCATCCTGATCCTCAGACTTCACATCGCCCCCCTCGGCCTTCTTCAACTTTACCGTCCCGCTCAGCAGTGCGTCCAACTCTTCGTCTTCCCCCTCCGGCATCTTCCTCGAATCCCTCCCCCACCTCCTCGGCTTCTTGAACAGCCCCTTCACAGCCTCCTCCTCCTCCTTGTCCTCCTCCTTCTCATCTCTCTTCCTCACCCCAGTCGCAACCTTGTCCGCTTTCTTTTCATCGTTCGCTCCTCCATCTCCCGCGCTCTGAATCACTCGGGTGCTCGTAACCGTCCAATCACCAGGTATAGCCATTTCCCCTCGGAAATCCTCCGGCACCGCAACCCCCATCTCTGCCAACTGTTCACGCTGTTTCTTCATAGAGGATTCATTGGAGCTGCTCCCTGGCGCGGAAGCGCGGCCCAACCGCAACGGGCCCGTCGAAGAGGTTGTGACAACTCCATTTAAGCGATCGATTTCGCGTCGCGCTCGTTCCTTGTCGCGCTCCTCTCGCTCGTGGTTGCGGTGTAGGTCACGGAGCGATCGCTTGATTGCGTTTTGGTGCTTGGCTGTGGCTTCGTGGTTTTGGCGCTCAAGCTTGGTATCGCGCACAAACACGGCACAGTGCTTGCACCAGTAATTCGGTGACGCTTTCCAATATTCAGTCATGGTTTGTCGTGTAGACGGTAGTTATTCGTGTCAAGAGTACGGAGGAGTTGAGATGTAGATGTCAGTGTCCCATTCAAGCGATTCCTGCCTGTAGCTTTATTTCGCATTACGTAATCACGCTCTGCAGCGTAAAGATTTCTACAAAGACAGCCCGAATTCACAACCCTTCCGTTCTCGCAATGGGCAAAAATTTTGACAGTATTTACGAATTTTAGCCAATGAGGCATCAATTCCTATTTTACTGTGCAACTACCTAATTTGTGTTTACAGCTGTGTATTACCCTTCGCAATTTCATCAAGTCCAATGTCTCGTAGATACACCCAACACCAACAACAAAGGAAACGCTCTGGTTTCTCACCAGGGGATGTGATTAAAGGTCGGCCTTGCTCCAACGACATTACACCCATACATTGGGGAAAACAGCAAACCACCGTTTACTCTCCTAAACAGCAAAAGCAAATTCCAATCCTATGCCATATCAATTTACAGGTAAAGAACGGCACCGAATAGGGCAAAAACGGCGGCAGCGACGCCAGGGAAAGCCTTATTGGCAGCGGCAGTAGGGACGGCAGTAGGAGCCTTGGTAGTAGCGTTCGTGGGAGCCTGGGGCTGTCCATCCGAGATCTGGGTAACGGGTGGTGGAGGAGCCTGGGTGTGCGTAGGAGCTTGAGGCTGTCCGTCTGAGATCTGGCTGACGGGTGGAGGGGGAACCTCGGTATGTGTGGGAGCTTGAGGCTGGCCGTCCGAGATCTGGCTAACAGGAGGGGGAGGTGCGGCTGTCTTGGGAGGACCCTGAATCTGTCCATCCGAGATTTGACTAACAGGCGGTGCAGGGGGAGCCGCGGTCTTCGTGGGGGCCTGAGGGACTGAGGCACAAGGAGTTGTGCGGACCTGAACCTGGCCATCGCCAATCTGGCACATGGGAATGGGAACGACAGTGGTATGGACCTGGGGCTGACCATCACTGATGACATTGACGACAGTAGTCTGCACCATACTAGTGCCAACAGGCTTGCCGCCGTTGTTGCCACCACTACCGCCGTTGTTGCCGCCATCGCAGGATGTAGCAACAATGTCGATGGGAGAGCACTGTTCAGCCCAGTGGCGGTCATAAAGGTTGTAGAAGTTGCCAGAGAGGCATCGGTAAAACTCAGTAGTACCGTCAAGAGCAAGAGAGCCGTTCTGGCAGAGCGAAAACCCCGAGGATTTGAGGGCGTTGGCTTGAGGAGGGCCGTCAAACTGGAACTGATAGTTGGAGGCAATGTAACCGGTTCTGTCGTGGGAATCCTTCAAAACGCCGTCCTTGAGAGTCATGACCAAAGTGCCTTCGCCCTCGCAGGCTCGCTTCTATGGGTTGGTTAGCGATCGTGGCCTGATTCTCGTGACCCCCAATCCTCAATCGCGAGTACAAGAATCGACTTACCTCAACGCTACGCTTTGCCTCGCCACGAGAGTAGATGGAAACCTGGAACTTGCCGTCATGAGAAGTGCTGCAGCCAGCAGGCGGGCTGGCTGCCATGGCTGTGGCCGCAAGGCCAAGGGGAAGAGCTGAAGTCCACTTCATTATGCTGCTGCGGTGTCTGTTAGTTATCAAGAAGTCTGGAGTAGGGGGATAGGAAGTTGGTGATGGAGGCGAAATAAAGAAATAGGGAAAGGCTGTGCTGCTGATGTCACAAACGAGCATCTAGGGGACAGCTTGGGCGGAAAATGGTAAAGGTGAGAGGAGAGTGAATGGAAGGTGACTTCAAGGTGACCGTAGGCTTCGGTGGCAAGATAGAGCATACTTTGCAATTATGATATTAGGCGGATAGTTCGAATTCGCAAGGATCAAATGATCAACTCGAGAGACTAGAGGACAAACGAGGAGTGCTCAAGGGTGCACAAGATCAACCCTAAACGATAGATCAATTGTCTTTCCCAACGATAGACGGGATAGATCAATCCAAGTGAGAAAGGCGACAACGTGAAGCACGTGTCAGTGACGGTGGCGATACTGAAGATCAGACAAGCAGTGAACTGAGAAAGGAAGAGAGGTAAATCAGACTTGGACAACGGGAGGGTGGGCACTGATATAATAGTCGGCTCCCATCTGTAATGACTTAGATGGTGTAGGATCGAGCACAACCACCTCTTTTTCTGGGACAGCTTGCCGACTCAGCCAGTCCAAGCTTACACCCATAATCGAGTGAAGGCCAAACGCCTCCTTCGGCTGACTGGATCCGTCTCCGGAAGTGCATGTATTAGCGCCGAGGACATGCATGGCTCCTTTGCTGGATGTGAATCGGCCAGGAAGAGGCCAAGGTATTGTTGATCCACATTTCAGAGGTCGGATTGGGCGGCATTTCTGATGTCAATGGCAATGGCCGTGAGTACCAATGGCGCCGGACGTTTCTGGTAAAATGGGCTCCTTGCACGAGCATCAATTTTCTGTTGTGCAGCTTTGTCCAATACCCAAACGTTGATTCGTCTAATACAGACCTGTGTTCAGAATAAATTTTCACATGGCTATATAGAACCAGAACCATGAGAACTCGTCTTGGACGGCAAATCACGGCATTCATCTTGTCCATTTGTAGGAACATCTTGGTGCATACCAACGGTACAGCAAGGGCCGCCAGCCAGGCCGAACGTGATCAACCCCAAGGCCAAAGGTTCAGACACAGACTCAAGTATCCACCGGCCGGTTACGTCTGTCTACCCAACCAAAACACCCCAGAGCTCAGTTGACGATGCTGGCAGAGAGATCAACCCAACCACCCAGAATGGTTGATGTTCTGAGACTTCCCACATGTAGACAGACAGTTGAAAGTCATCCAGCTTTGTTTTTCTCATGCACCAAACTATTTTCGTTGCCAGGGGGAGAACCTACAAGCGTCTCTGGCCAAGAACTTACAGTCACCGAACGGTGCTTTTGGGTCGCAACGTCTCTTCGGCTCTTCGGTCGTAAGTCAGGATGGATGGCAGGGGTGCATCTATAGAAGGAAGAACTAGAAGGGAACACAGCAGAGCCAGGTTGGTTAGGAGCTCCGCAAAACTGACGAACAATCGTATCCATAACGAATCACTAAGAATGTCTCAGTGTCCATGCAGGCCGAAGAAAGTGGGTGATGATGGTGTCTACCAGCCTCCTGTACTTGTTTTTCCTTTTCCCAGCTGGAATTGTTCCTGCGTCGCAGATGAGGCAGTTCCGCATGCCTACTTAACGATACCTCATGAACACGAGGGACGTTTTGATGTTAGGCTTATCCGGATATCAGGAGGGGCACATAAACGAAAAACTTTGCTCTCTTTTGCTAAACCGCCTAACAGCTTCTATTGGGCTATTGATTCTTTGGGGGCATTGCCACACCGGGCGCCGGCGTACGTTTGCTCACCTCCTGTTAGATGTTGCCTCATGTTAAGTTGGTCTTTGTCCAGCATCACCCCCTGCTGCGTGCTCTGCCGCTGGTTCACCAACTTGGATTTGGCGGCGGTCGTCGAGGTCGCTGGCCGTGCCGCTGAAATAACATGACATGCATTGGTCCTGGACTCCTGGCCAAGAACAGCAAGCTGAGACGACACATCCGCATGGCAAACAGTGGAGGGTGGCTTGGGACAGGGACTTGGCTGGCAGGCAAAGATCGCCTAACAACACAATGTGCCGAAATTGCTGCGGAGCCCCGGACTGTGAGCCGTGCCGTCAATGACGGTTCGAATTGGCATCGAAGTGACAAGCACGCAGTTACGGTAGCGAGTCGAGACGGGATTGAGAGCGATCAACTAATGTTCCATTGAAAAGCCAGGTCGATAGAAGCGGGCTTCATGTGGTGTTGCAGCAACGGTCGTTATTGTCACGTCGCATTCATCATTGGCTTTCTTCAACTAGTCGCCAGTTGACCACTAGAAAAGTGGAATAATAAACCAATTGACGACCTGGGTCCGCCTCATTCACTCATGGGCGAGCAATGAGGTCATTGAAACCGGCTGCGTCAATTAGCCAGAGTTGGTTGAATGCTGGCAGAGACCACGTACCATGCCTTTCGGCGATGGTCCGCCAAGAAGAATCAATGACAGCGGAGGGGGGAAACAGTAGTACTCCGTAATGGCCAGATGATAGGCTGAGAGCAGCGCAGCCAACCGCGGATCGAGGGGTGTGTTGTGAGCAAACAGGAGCATCGATGGATCGACATGGAACGGGGAAGCAAAGTCATGTTCGCGTCGAGTGTGTGGGAAGTGGTAGTCGATTGATGGTGTCTACTGATGGGGCAGGAGCCACTGAGTGGGGGAGATCGCCAACCCCGGGGGCCCGCTAAGCAGCAAGCTGCGCGGGAGGCGGGGCTGCTTCTGCGGCCAGGTGGCCAATGTTGCTGGTGGCTACGCTGTACATCGGCTCAGGATTGCTGGGGGCCTGAACGAAGGCGTTACGCCTCTGGTCGTCCAAGCGGGCCCCTTTGCTTCCGCCCAAACTGCAGCACTTCGGCGGCACCAGCACTTGAGTTGATGGCTGGGGCTGGGGCCTGTGCCGTTGCCTCCATGCCCCCTGGCGCTTCCCAAAACGGCAACTGGGCCCGCCCTGAGCGAATGGACTGCGGGGGACAAACAAAGAGGCCAGCCACTAGCACGTGCGTCCAGGCGCCTCCGCCTCAAGTGTCTGGATTCTCTGGAAGTTGAGACAACATTGAATCCACACGCACACCAAAACTGCTGTCTGCCGTTCCCCAACTCCAAACATTCGATTGGGGGGATCAAGATGCAGAGCTTCAATTATTGAGTTGCATCCCCTCGTGACCCTCTCGTCGCACCACAATTGCTAGGCGACTGCCCGCCGTCAATAAATTTCCGTCGTTGCAACCGGCCGGCCGCTCAACCGTAATGCATCAAGCGCGGCAAGAAGCAGGATGTGTCAAAGCCTCAAATACTCCGTACAACGGCAAGAATTGGCAATTGACATTCCACTGAAGAGGCCTGAGGAATTGGGCTTTTAAACGTCCGATTTCGCACAATTGCATCCAAGCTACCC